AGAAGCTGTGGTGCTGTACATGACCTTCTCTCAGAAGTCACCTGGTGTCATTTCTGCCACATTCTATTCATTAGGAGCAAGTCACTAAGTCTAGTCCACACTCAAAAGACAGGGAATTAAGCACCATCTTTGAAGGAAAAATGTCAAACAATTTATGGACATATTTAACAGTCACCACAGATGGTGAAAGCTGAATAATACTACATGAGGTTGAAATATAAGAAAGAACTCCATGTTAGCCCATACCCCCAAAAAATTCAGGGAGAAAGAACAATGTGAAATCTTTATATTTTTTGACAGTTTTAAGAGTGTGAATAAACATCTAAACCAATGGCTGTTAGCTAAAGCAATATCACTGTCTAGGAGGTCTTTCAGAAAATTTGGGTTGACTTTTTGATTGTCACAATGTTTGGGGGGCGCTACTGGCACTTAGTGGATGGAAGCCAGGGAAGGTAGATGTCTTACAGTATCTGGGACAGTTCTCCACAACTGAGAATTGCCCCGCTTCTTGCCTGGCTAGCTCATGTTCCACTCATGTAGGTGACATGTTTTTAAGTATTTGAATCTAAAACTTCTGTTTTAAAATTACAAATGTTGTTTTTGCATAGTCTTAGTGATTACCAAAAGAATATGAAGAAAGATTGCACATTTTGTTGGAATTTATTGAAATGTGTTCATTTTAGAAAAGTATATCATGGACAAGAGTTCCTGTATTATTTGAGTCTCCTACACCATATACCTGTACCCCCTGCAATTCTAGCTGCCACATTCAGGGATTCTATCTATAGGTGCAGGCAGCTGACTTATTTCCCTATGTCTTCTAGATTAATCACAAGTGAGCATTAGCATATTTATATGCATACTGTTTAATTAAAAATTTTTCTCTACTTATTTATTATTTGCATTATAGTCAGGGTATTTTGTTGATTTTTAAAGAGAAATTATGTGTATGGGTGACTTATGCTTTATGTGTGTACTATTTCAAGATTATAAAAGGAGCATTGTTAATGTTTGTTATAAAAAGAGTGTGTTGCATATGGTGGGGTTGAAGAAGGGCTGACATACAAACCCATGATGTTATGATATTATTAATCACCTTACATGAGAGACCTCGACATGTATAGGGAAATATTCCGGAACAGCTCTGTCCAGGAGAAGCATAATTATGCATCATATGTGTAAGTTAAATTTTCTAGTAGCTCTATTTAAGGAAATTTTCTTAAAGATGAAATCAACTTTAATAATATATCTTATTTAATTACCTACAACTAAATATTATTTTAAATATAATAAATATAAAAAAATTATTGAAATATTTTCATTCATTTTTTTGTTCATGCTCTTTAAAATCTGATGTGCATTTTGCAGTTATAGCAGATCTAAGTCTAGATAAGCCATATGTAAGTGCTCAGTAGACACATGTGGCTAGTGGCTACCTTATTAGACAAGAGTTCTAGAAGTTCCATGAATAAAGAAATTCCAAGGAAGGCAGTAAAATGTAGGAGGTCCTCTAGATTAATATGAGAAACCCCTTAGTTTACTAATGGACACAATAACTGTTGTGGCACATCTTTTTTTCCCTCCTTCCACCCCCTACCCCCACCCCCACCATATTCCTCCAGTAGAGGTGGATGAGATGTAGCCTTGATGGAGCAGAGAAAGCCCATATGCCGCTTTCCTTAGGAAGACCCATGAAGAGACTGAGTAACCCCACCCTCCTTGAGTCCCCAGAGGCCTTGAGCCATGAATGGGCCCAGCCAAGGGACGCTGCCCATGATTGGGACGGGGAAACCAGCCCACAGTGCAGAACAGAATGCTGAAATACAACAAAAAGAGGATTATGTCTTTAGTTAAAACTTTGGCATTAAATAAAAAAGGCAAACAGGATGGAAACATGCAGCCCTGTCAGCCAGATTGGAGCAGAGCGGGACACAGGTAACCTTGAAAGCAGGCTCCGAGAAGGGGTGGCAACGAGGCTGGGGCATGTACCGGGATGGCAGAAAGCTGTGTTTCAACCACTTGGGTGTGCCTGCTGGGCCTGGCAGGGAGCGCATGCAGAAAACTGAATACCCTCGACTGAAGGGACTTGGTTGAACTGGTCCTTGCAGCTTTCAGATCAGAGACTTGGTGTTCCAGCTCAAACACCGACCATCTGCAGTACGACTTCTGTGCCAGAGGCTGCGTGGTGAGGTGTAGCAGCAGCTAGTAAACCCAGCCACCTGCTACAATTCAAACCTGCAAAATTAAGAAGGCTCATTCCTCCCTTGACACTTCTATCTTTGTCTCCCTCTCCTTTGTCCCCAGGCCATCGTATCCCTCCCAATCACTCTTCCTCTCCAGCTAAGTACAAAGCTCTTCTTTTCAAATAACAAAGGCTCCAAAAGTACCTGTCGCATCTCCTTTCCTAGCATATGTGTCCAACATACTGCCAATCCTCATGTAGCTGATATCCTTGTTGTTTCCCACTGTTAACAAGCTCATTCCTAATTTATCCTTTAGCGGACAGCCTTGTAGCTACTGGAGTCTAGTGGTTCAAGTGCGGGCCTTAGAGAGCAGCACACCTGACTTCAAGCCCTGTTTATGCCACTTAAAAGCTGTGTGATGTTGAAAAGCAAATAAAACTCTGAGCTGCACTTACCTATAAAATTTAGTTATCTACCTCATAGGGTTATTGTGAGACTCTCTTATAGAGTTATTGGGAGGTTCAAATAAGACAATGAATTTGATACAGCATGGTACTTGACATATTGTGAACAATTAATAAATGGAAGCTTTTACTATTACTATTTCCTCAATCTATAATTCTTCTCTACTCCTGGACACCCATCTAAATCCTAGGCATTTTTCAGTATTCTCAGATCCCACTTCTACTCTAAGCCTTCTACAAAATTTACTCTTTCCTTTTCAAGTGTTTCTTGAGAACTGTGACACAAACTATTCTGGGATTGACTTCTAGTACAGGATACATACCTGTCATGCCAAATTCTTCGATTAATGGCTTGATGATGCAAAGGGAAAGTAAAACAATAGCAGGTGCTGCTGGTCCCCCCCGCCCTCCCTCTCCCTCTCAGCCCCTCTGAGTGAGCTGGAAGCTATGGCAGACGGTTTTACCTTCTCACCGACAAGCATGTTTTACCTGGTTCCTCGGCAGTTCCCAGCAGGATGGAGTTCGTGCTGCCCGCAGCAAGATGCCACTTGTTAGCATGCCCTTTATTGGCTTTGCCCCTTCTCTGGCTCACTTTCCTCACTCCCACTGAAGCTTCCTGGAATTGTTTCCTAAAAGAACTACCTTCTTCAAAATCCTTGCGTTACTGTTTGGTTTTGGTGAAACCCAGATATGACAGGAACTAACATTACTGAGTTCACATTGTAAGTCGGACATCTTGCTTTCACTGTCTTCTTTCATATTCTCAACATTCTTATGAGGCTCGGTATACTTTTACTCATTTTCCAGTAACAAATTAGAAAGCCAAGACTCAAAACAGTTGAGTGACTTGTTCAGGGTAATACATATTTTAAGTAGCAAACCCAGCAATCCAAATGCTTAAGTGCCCATTTCTAAATTAATAATTGTACGGAAAAGCAATAAAACATTTTGGGATAAAGTTAAACACATTATAAGAAATAAAGTCAGGTAAAATTAGATCTCTTTCTTTAGTATAGCCAATATGTGATGAACTAAGCTTTAAAACAGAGTTCAATGAAATAGTGTCTGGAGACATAGATGTTGAATGCTTAGATGTCATTTAAATGCCTTATTTATAGTCTACTTTCTTTATTCTGGGAAATAAAAATGGGAAGATATGGCAGTGGAGAGCTGCCCAAATGAGTCAGATTTTATAAGAAGGTATTAGAAGATGAAACCAATTTGGCTTCTATGACATTTGAGAAAGAATTAGACAAAGGGAATTTTCCTGGATACTTAGATACTAAAAGGAAAGGGTTGGATGGATGAAGAAAACTATTGAGAAAAATTTCTCTACCATATTAAAATTCTCATTCAGAATTGATTTTTTATCTTTCCAAGTCACACTGTCCATGTATATAAGGGTTATTGAATTATAACATGAACTGTCAAATCCAATAAATGTGGGTAAGGAGATAGCTGAGTAAATGTTAAAGGAAGCAAAGGACAAAGAGATAGGTTTTCCATAAAGAAGTAACTATTAGATGACCACACATTTCTTAGATTTTTAGAATCTATATTAATCAAGTTGAAGACGTTTGAAACATTCAGTTAGAATTAAGTATTACCCAATTTAGTTAATGGATGTTACTTTCTGTGGTTCTATAGTCTAGCTGTCAAGTTTATAATTTTTGGAAATAAGAGTAATGAATTCATATGAGGTAGAACCTAGTGTCTTCAGAGAAAATAGAACTGAGTCTTCAGTTTTCATGAAGCTTGAGGACACTTGATATTTTTAGTAAGCTTTGAGATTATCAGACAAACTGTACAGTAAATATTTATTGTATTGCCTCTGAAGTCGTTACTGTTTATATTTTTTTAATGTCACATGAAATCATAAAAAAGCAGTCAATTTGAATTGGGCATTATTGTTTCATTTTGTTTTTGAATTTTTAAAGATTTTTACTTATGCATAATCCAAAAGAATTACATCATATTTACTGTAAATTTATTAGCTTTACTATGAAGTCATTTAATTTAGAGCCCTAGGAAAAATGACTTTTGGCCAAGCAAGCTTTTGTAGTGTGCCCTCTAATTCACATTTTAATAAATGTCATTTTCTAAGTACATTACCTCATGCTTTGGCTTTAACCCAGATGAATACTGAGAGAGTAAGAGAAATGTGCCTTCTGACTGATTCATCCATATTTTATTTTACTTTTCATTAAGAAATTACTCTTTGGAGAAAATCAATAATCTTCTGTGACTGAGGGGAGAGGTTAGTGTGTTGCAGTGACGCATTCTAATTTCTCCAATCCAAGTGCTTTCAGCCAGCTGTTGCTGATGGAGGTCTTGTCCTTTCTCGTTTTTGCAGCCTGGGTACATGGCGACCCCAGAAGAGTGGCTTATCCTACAGACAGCAAGGGCCACTTTTGTGGCCAGAAAGGCACCCCCAATGAGTGAGTATGGCCACCTTTGCTTTATCTGAATTTACTGTTTAAGCTAGGACCTAGAAGCCACTTTTACCTTAATCTTACTGGACTTCTTAACAAGATTGAAATTCATAATGAAGGCCTTCCCTCCCCTTTTCCTAGAAATAGTTTATAAGCAGTTAGAGAGTTTGATACTCTATAACTTAAGATAAGTTATGATTGTGATGCAGAGTTTTATTAGATTGCTTGAAGATACTGAACGAAAATATAATTATAATGGATAAATTGAACCAGTGGGCTTATCAGAAGCCATATTTTGAAAGCCGTACGAAATGTCCTTGGAAGGCTGAGTTCTGAGTAGCTGCTAAAAAGCTCAACATGGCAGTCATTAGACTTGTGTTTGCCACAAGTAAATCACTCTGATAAATCACTCCCCCCCCGCAGAGTGAGCAGCACACCTAGAAGGTCTTCAGCGTGTGGTAGACTTTTCAAGGCAACCTGACTTCTGCAGACAGTGGCCCTCATCCCAGTAGCTGAAACAAACAAGGATGAAAGTTCCATCAAATTCCTTTCTAATGTTAACCATAACAGAAACTTCCACTTCTGAAAACAAGGTTTTTATTTCTCTACTTAAAAACAAAAACAGAAACCCTACATTTTAACAGAAATGTCCCTTCTCTCTCACTAATCCATTTCTTTTGTCAGTATGCGGGGTTATAACTAGATCTGGCTCTTCATAACCAGTTCAGGGTAAGAGCTGGTACTGAATGGAAAAAAGAGTCAACAGCCCCCCTCCTGTTAACAACAGCAGCAGCTAGGGCTCACAACACTTTAGGTGTTCCCTATAGTTCCCTATAGTTCCCTATAGTGCCTACCCATAACTATGGAGCTTATTATTTGAGATACACTGAAAAAAAATGGATTCAGGAAGGGGTTAACAAAATTCATAATGTAGAATTTTTACAGGCCACCAAGAGAGAACAAAATATGGGTGGGGAGAAACCCTCAATGTCAGGTTGAGTTTATAGTGGACAAATTAACTTCTACAAAAGGTCCTTGTTGTCTATTAGAGATGACGGGACTAAATTCTGACCTAGAGTGGTAATTCTTATTTTAACCTCAGTAACTAAAAAATCCGAAATATTGACAACAAAATCTTTACATTTTGAGGGACAAATAGAGCACCAGGTGATGAAAATCATACAAATCTCTAAGTCTCTAGTTCTATAAAATAGGCTATTTTTAAAAAGGTCTCAATATTAAGTTTTCCAGGCCTAAGCCAATGACCCACTCATTTCCAACAAATATACCATAACATCAGTACATAAAGATCATTTAAAGAAAATCCTAGCATAAAGCAGACATGTTCATTAAAGCACTATATAATAAAAATATGTGGGAGGTAGTAAATTAGGGCCTATTTAATGGAATATAAGGGAGCTCTTAAAAATTATTTTTATATTTTCAAGAGTTGATTCTGTTAATTTTCCTTCATATTTTCTCAATTTTGTATTATGACCCTATTGGCTTTTTTTAATCCTAAAAATTATACTCACCCATATTTTTCTGGTATTTTTATGGTTTCCTTTTTTATATTCATATATGTAATCCATTTGGAATTTACTTGTGTCTATGCAATAAAATAGGAATAACATTTCCATTTTTTTCCAGTTGTAGAATCAAATTTCTCAGAATAGTTTGATAAATAATATACTCTTCCTTACCCTCGATTTATGATACCAAAACTATCATATAATAAATTTACATATTGTATTTGTTTCAGAGCCATCTATGCTATTATGCTTTATATTTTTTAAACTACCAATTGTTTTAATTCTTAATGTGTAAGTATATTAATTTGAAATTTTAACAAGAAAGTTGCTTTACATTATACTTAGAGTTTTTAATAGTAAGGAAAAATTTATAAAAAATCAGATTTCAATCATCAAAACAGTGTGGAACTATAATAGAACTAGGAAGTAAGAAATAAATCTCATTATAAATATAAATTCTAAATGTAACGAAGGTGGGATTTTAAGTCAGTAGCTAAAGAGATGTAACTTTACTTCTCAAGAAGCAAGAAAAAAACCCAAACTAAGCCTGAAGTTATTAGAAAAAAGGAAATAGTGAAGATCAGAGTGGAAATAGGCAAAATAGAGACTAAAAGAAAATAAAAAAGATCGATGAAACTGAGAGCTGGGTTTTTGAAAAAATGAAGTAGACAAACCTAGACTTATCAAAAAAGAGGGAGAGGAGACATTATAGCTTATCGTGAAAATACAAAGGATCATAAAAAACTACTATGAACAATTATATGTCAACCAATTGGACAATCTAAAGGAAATGAATAAATTTTAGCAATATACCACCTACCGAGACTGAATCATTAAGAAATAAAAAATCCAAACAGACTGAATATTAGTAATCAAACTTCCAAACAAACAAAAGACCATGTTCAGATGCCTTCACTGGTGAATTCTACAAAACATTTAAAGAATTAATACCAAGCCTTCTCAAACTCCTCCAAAACATAGAAAAGAAGAGAACATTTCTAAACTTTTTTACAAGACCATCATTACCCTGATAACAAAGCCAGACAAGGACACTATAAGAACAGAAAATTACAGGCCAGTATTCCTAATGAATATACATGCAAACATTCTCAACAAAAATATTAGCAAAACAAATTTAGTAATACATTGAAATGATTATATACCATGATCAACTGGTACTCATTCCAGAGATATAAGGACGGTTCAACATCCACAAATCAATTAATGTGATATACCACATTACCAAATGAAGGATAAAAATCATATGAGCATCTCAATAGATGCAGACAAATCACTTGACAAATTTCAGCATAACTTTATTGATAAAAACTCTAAACAAATTGAACATAGAGGGAATGTACCTCAACATAATAATGGCTCTATCTGAAAATCTCACAGCTAGCATCATGCTTGATGGTAAAGAGCTTTTATTCTAATATCAGGAACAAGATGAGGATGCCCAGTCTTGCCACTTTTACTCAATGTAATACTGAAAGTCATAGCCAGAGCAATTAGGCAGGAAAAAGAAAAAAAGGACTCAAAGTGGAAGGAAAGAAGTAAAACTCTATTTTCGGATAACATGATATTATATATAGAAAACCCTAAAGACTCCACCAAAAACCTCTTAGAACTAATAAATTCAGTAAAGTTTCAGGATATAAAATCAATACATAAATTTCAGTTGCACTTCCATGCATTAATATCAAACTATCAGAACGTTAAATTAAGAAAACAATACCATTTACAACTTTATGCAAAGGAATAAAATACTTAGGAATGAATTTAATCAAGGAGGTGAAAAATCAGTGCACTGAAAACTATAAAACCTCAGTGAAAGACATTGAAGGGACACAAATAAATAAAAAGATGTATCACACTGATAGGTTAAAAGACTTCATATTTTAAATGTGTATACTACTCAAAGTAACCTATTGATTCAATGCGATCCCTATCAAAATGCCAATGATACTTACAGAAATAGAAAAAAATCCTAAAAATTGTATGGAACAAGAACAACAATAAAGCCTAAATAGCTAAATCAATCTTGAGAAAGGGAAACAAAGGTGAAGGCATCAGTTTTAAAGTATATTAAAGCTGATAAAGCTGTAGCAGTCAAAGCAGTATGGTATTGGCATAAAAACAGACACATAGATAGAGAGCCCAGAAATAAACCCATACATATAAGGTCAATTGATTTTCAACAAAGGAGCCAATAACGTACAAAAAGAAAAGGATAGTCTCTTCAACAAATGGTACTGGGAAGACTATTTACATGCGAAAATGAAATTGGACTCTTATTTTATACCATACAAAAAAAAAAAAAAAAAACCCAACCCTCCAAATGGATTATGGACTTGAATGTAAGACTTGAAACCACAAACCTCCTAGAAGAAATTCCTTGGCATTGGTCTGGGCTCTGGATATGACACCAGAAGCAAAGGCAAAGGTGAAAATAAACAAGTGGGACTACTTCATATTGAAAAGCCTCTGCATAGCAAAGGAAACCATTAACAAAATAAAAAGGCAACGTACTGAATGAAAGTATTTGCAAGCTATGTTTCTGATGAGTGATTAATATAAAAGTGTATAAAAAATCATACAACTCAGTAACAAAATTAAAACAAAACAATATGATTAAAAATAGGCAGTAGAACTGAATAAACATTTTCCCAAAGAACACAGATGACCAGCAAGTGCATGAAGAGGTACTCACAATCACTAATTGTCAGAGAAAAGGAAATCAAAACTACAATGAGGTATCACCCCACACTTATTAGAGTAGCTATCACCAAAAAGACAAAAGACAAGTTTGGGGAAATATATGAACAGAAGAGAACCCTTGTGCACTATCGGTGGGAATGCAAATTGGTTCAGCTCTTATGGAAACAATATGGAGGTTCCTATAAAAATTAAAAACAGAGCTAACACATGATTCAGTATTTCTACATCAGGTTTTATATCCAAAGGAATTGAAATCACTATCTTGAAGAGATATCTGCACCTCCATGTTCATTGCACCATCATTTAAAGTCGTCAAGACATGGAAGCAACCAAAGTGTCCATCAATGAATTAATGGATAGAGAAAATGTGACATATAATGGAATGTTATTTAACTATAAAAAGTAAAGAAATACTTCCATGTGTGACAACATGGATGGAACTTGATTGCATTATGCTAAGTGAAATAAGTCAGAAAAAAGACAAATACTCTATTATCTCACTTGTACGTACAATCTAAATAGACTGAACCCATAGTAAAAGAGAACAGATTGGTGACTGCCAGAGGCAAGGATGAGGCGTGTGGTTAATGGATTTAGGTGGTCAAAAGGGAGGGCCTTTCCATTACAAGCTTTGGGGCTGTCATGTATAGCATGATGACTATAGTTACTGATACTGTTTTGTATGTTTGAAAGTTACTAAGAGAGTAGATGTTGAAAGCTCTCATCACAATAAAAATATTACTATATGAAGTGACAAATGTTAACTAAAGTTATTGTGGGAATCATTTTGCTATAGATCTATATCAAATCATTATGTTATACATCTTAAACTAATACAATGTTATATGTCAATTGCATCTCAATAAAACTGGAAAAATTAAATTAAGAACTAGACAATAAAAAAAAGAGAAATCATGGACTTCAATCTAGTATGTTTGGTGCAGTGTGCTACTTTAAGAATAGAGCGTAATCCTGACAATCTCACCTGAAGCATTACCCCCAGTGTCTAGTTCCTTGGTTATTTTCTGGCATAATTTTTGGCCCAAACTTCCAGGAAAAAAATCTTTCATTTTAATTTGTAATCAATTATTTGTTTATATTTAGAAACAAAACTGATTATAATATTCCAAGGTATTATTTTTCATACAGATATCACTATTGCTTTCTAGAGTTATATTTTTAATGCATAAACATAAATAAAAGAATTGACAACATTTATATAGATACAGAATTAGTACTGCCCATGTATAAAGTGCACCTTATTTTTCCCTAAAAAATTTGGGCAAAAAAGCACACATTGTACATGGCAAATATGGTAAATAAATAAAAAAACGAGTGCGTGTGTGTGTGTGTGCACGCGCATGTGTTTCCATTCCAAATGAAATACATTTAGTCAGAATGTGTAAGCAATTTAGCCACACCAAAAGATTTAGTCCAGATAATACTTGCAAGACTGTAACAGCTGGAGTATTTGTACTTGTTAGAGCCTGATGTAATTAAAATGACCCTTTGACTCTTACCTCTCAAAGGCATTTGTAACTGAGCTTAAATGCCATGTTTAGAGATGGTGTTACAGTTTTGGGGATATAGATTTTTGCCATATTTTGCTTTGTTTATCCATGCCTAACCAAAGCACTAGGAGAAACACTGGGAGTTTTCTAAAATGTCAAAACAGATAAAACAGAGCTCTCAAGAGAAAATGGTTGACATGTAACTTTTTTCTGTCTCTTAAGTTTCAGGGAAGTTATTCATGATACTCGGCCATGGTCCTTTTCTTGGGGATTGCCATTAAAAGTGAGAGCTCAGTTGATTTTGATGCCACCTTCTGGCTGCTACAAAAACTTCAGCTTGAAAGGTTGTATTAAAACAACTTTGAACATTGTCTAAGGAAGCGCAATTACCCAGTATGAGCTTTTTAGGTAATGAAAGAGGAAAGACGGAGAGAGCAAAGCTCTTCCATTTAGGTTTTGCATCAGTTTGGCATCTAAATGAAGCAACATTCCCAATCTTACTAAAAAAAGATGAACCAGGTCTCCTGTGAATTCTCTCTACTGCTATGTTGGTCAGTCAATTTCTCAGGGAGGACTGTGCCCTGTTCAGGGTGAGGGGCTGTGCTGGCCATCAGATTTCACTACAGCATGAACTGGTGGGAAGCTGGCTGTCAGGCATCAGCTTTCAAAATGCTGTTGAAGCCCTTGCTATCCCCAGAAGGTTAACTCAACAAAAGAAGACTCGGTGTTGCCTGTTTTTCCTGGGTGCTAAAATTCTAAGTGCACGTGTATAGGAGGAGTACAGAGATGCTGATTTGCACTGCAGATTGTATATAAACTTTCAAATAATCTTCTCATTTTTGGGTAAATTTCTATTAACTCTAAGTCCAACATATCAAATGATTTCTAACTGGCAAAAGCATGTCCCACCTTTTTCGTAGTCACTGTGGTGCATCCATCACTCAACACACTCATATGCTCTCCATCTTTCCAAACTTGTTGAACCCTCTTGTGTAATTGTGAGCAGACCCCATCCTCCACATCCTCAGGCAGAATAGTGAGGTTTATTCCTTTTTCAAATGTTATTCTTATATTTCCATGAACCTCAGGAAAGAAAAAGATGGGCTAATGTACATGGTGGGTTATCTTAAATTAGTAATCTGCAGTTGCTTCTATTTTGTTGTTTCAGAGTGGAAATGTAATTCAAGTTAAACAATAAATTACTTCCTCAGTCACTCCACAGAATTGCTCAGCTCCAACCATCATAATCTACTTTGTACCCAAGGAATCTGAGGTCCACGGATATTTAAGGATATCAGTCAGACTGCAATAGAATGACTACAAATTTGTGCTGAAAAACAAAGGATTTTAAGGATTCTAAGATTTTGAAAAACCCTGTGGAATTTGTTTCATTCATTCTACATTTGATAACTACCTAGAATGGGCCAAGTGCCAAGCTAAGTGTTAGTAAGGTAGGGGTATAAAGATGAATAAGATAGAAGCCTTACCTTTGAGAATAACATAATCTAGTGAATAACTTTAGTTTATGTAGCATTTTGCAGGTTATAAATCAATTTTACCTATGGGAACTCTTGAAACTTACTGATTTACCATTCACAGTTTTAACCACTCCTAAGAGACTCCGGTGATCGATGACATGCTTTAATTTATTCATTCGCTCAAGTACAAATTTGAATCACATGCACCATGAGACTGTGAGGACGATATAGCTGCTTGGGTGGTGAAAGAGCCAAGCTGACTCTTGCAGAGTCCTGAAGTAGCCTTGTGTGTATTATGTCTGAATTTATAACCAGATCCTGAGCCATCTGAACTTGATGGGTTTACAGATATGAAATGTGTTTATTTTCCCCATAATTGCCTTTAACAATGTTCTTTCAAATCTCTCTTCTCACTTTGTCATCTCAGGTAGACTCTATTGCTTTCCAGGTACTCTCTATTGTTGAAAAATTCAATGTAGTTTAAATTAAAATTTGAATCTCATATCTTCAGTCTCCTAGTTCAGGATTTAACTCTGCAAGGGAACTTAAAGCAGAAGAGAGGGTCTGGACTACTATATCCCTTTTCTTCTTTCTCTTCTGGTTCTGGCTCTTTCTTTGCGTTGTGAGGGATGGAAAGAGAAGGAGTGTCTATCACTTTTTTGGTCACTGTCCTTATCCCGTGTGGTGTTGCTACTTCAGCTAAGATACAACTAGTTAGCCATGAGTCACCCTCTTTAGCGTACGCATCCAAAGCCTTGTTCATTCATGGTGTCCAAGTGGAAATTCTCTGGAGGAAGTCCTTACTGAGTAGTTCTTTGATCTGAGGGTTCGACTTAGCTTGCCTTCCTCCCAACCCCTTTAGTTTCATCTCTGGTGATTCACCTCCAGTTTCTTGTTGTCTGATGAGGTACTACCAGGGTAATGCAAGCCCATTTTCATCCTCCCGTAACATGCTACTTCAACACTATGCTTTTCCTACCCCATTATCTTTTCCAGCTCACGGTGGTCTCTTTGGGTTTCATTTCTCCCTGCTAACATGGGCACAGAGGGCTAACTAATAAGTCTGCCACATAGCAAGGGTCCAACTGGAGAATGAGATGCTGGGCTGCCCTTCCTACAGGTACCCACAGTCTCTATGAGAGATTCTCTCCGAGCCCTCTGTGATTTGGCATTGGGAAGAAACAATCACCCTTTCAATGAGAAGGGATGGAAAAATCCTCCTAACTGTCGTCCTTGTATCCTGCCAACTCCACTATCTCCAACCCACCTCATTCTATCCATGTTTCCCTTATGTATACATGGGCAGGAAGAGGGTAGAAGTAACACAAGGGTCTGGCCCACACTTTCCGTGTGGAGAGCTTTCTTGGTCTTTAGATTTGGATCCTACTTGGTGATTCTAAGTAGAAAAGTATCCAATAGCTTATTATATGTTTTGTTATATATCTAGTCACGTTAATTAATTGAGGACTTGACAGAGGTTCTGGGAAAATATATAGGACTTCTCTCAAGGTATGGTTTATACACCATATATATCTGAATATGCTGAGGAACATAGGGGAAAAAAAAACAACTGAATTCCTAATCTGTATACCCAGAGATTTGGGCTCTCAAGGGATAAGAATGAGTTAGGAATCATGATTTGCAAAAACACTGCAAGTTTCACTGATGCATACTAAAGTTGGACAGGCACTTGTCTTGAATTCATGACACATTATTTTATGTTACCAACAACACTGTGAATTAAGTAAGGCTGGTATTATTCCAGTACACTGCTGAGGAAATTGAAATTCAAAAGTGAACCATGGCTGCCAAATGGCAGAGTAATGCTAGTGAATATCGACCTGTCCTATAACTATGCCACTAACCATAATTTTGAACACAGTGGAAATGTTAATTTATTTATCTTTTTTTCAGATTACCAAAGTAATACATGTTTATTTCAGGAGATCCATAAAAGAACAAAACAATTTAACTAAGCAAATATAATTCCACCATTCAGATAGAATAATTTGTTTCTGCATATCATGTTATGCCTATTTTTGAAAATTAAAATAAAGTCCTATCTTAATACTCTTTAATAACATGCTTCCTAAAATTAATACATTGAGAACTTCTTCATCCATTTAATATTTTCTTCAACATTATTTACAGTGACAATGTAAACTTCCATTTTATGGTTGTAAAACTTTCATTTAATCAATCTCCTATTGATGGACTATTTGATTTTTTTCAACTTTTTACTATTACCAAATGTTGCTTTAAATGTTAGGCAGTTTAAAGGGAGGTTGCAAATTATATTACAGCTATCTAAAGAAAATGAAGCCAATTTTTAAAAGATTGTATTATATTAAAGTGTACAGATTCTGAAATGATATGGAACATTTCCACACTCACTAAAAATGTTGTTTTCTTAACAGGAACAAGAGCATTTTGTTTTATTTTAACATTTTCAGCTGTACCAGTCCTTCCGTTTTAATAAACCTACATTGCCCTACTACACAGGTAAGGCAAAAAATATATATATATATATATATATATATATATACGCACATATCTATGCCTAACTGGTGTTAGCCACTTTGACCATTCTTGGATGAAAGAATTCAGAAGTTAATTTGCATTGTGTCTGTGTGTTGTTAAAGATGAATTTATGGAAAGTGGGAAGACATAAATATGAGCTCATCTTTGTTCATAACCAATCAAAAGGAAACAGTAATTCATCAATCTAGCATCAGTAAAGAACCTTGTGATTACTTTGTCCAAACCACCTAATTTTACAAATGAGCAAACTACAGCCCAGTGAAGTAGAGGTATTTCTCTCCACGTTGGTATTACAAAAAGTAAGGCTAGCTATTGTACATAATAAACCTCAGTTTTTCACTGACTTAACACAATAAAGTTTCTTCTTCGCCACTTAGCAGCATGAGGCATCGCGGTCGGTGGGGACTCTCCTGCAGTCCCCTTTCCTCTAACGGCTCTGCCATCCCTTTAGTCTTCAGTGTCTGCATCCAGCTGCCAGAAGGAAACAGAGAGGATGAATAAAGCACCCTGCTCCTGACAGTCTGGGATCAGAAGTGTCACACATCGCATTTCTACTCCTATGCCATTGGCACATTAGTCTTATATGTTCACATCTAGATGCAAAAAAGAAACGAATCAAGAAAGGTAGTTGCGGCCTGAAGAGCATCTTCTGTGCCATGGAACAAATGGAATAAGACACACAAATTTCAGTGAGCAGTTAGCTGTGTCTTCCAGAGTCTAACTCTCTGTTGTCTAGAATATCCATCTTCCCAAGGGAGACAACCAAGAGTCCCGTGTAGCACTGTCTTTCACCCAAGTCCATGTTCTGTGGGTGATGTGTAGTCTCTCTGTCAGGTCTTGACACTTAATGCACAATGGAGATTGGGTCTAAGAAAATTAGAATACAAACTCCCATTCAGAAAGGGAGGAATGGTAAATACACAACAGTCTGGTGCATGGCACTAGAGAAGAGCCCTTTATTTAAGCTGGATTGTATTCTTCAAGAGGAATTTCCTCATCCATTGCATTCAGTTGTCCTTTGCTCAGCCACCTGGAAGGTTATTTCCTGTTTATTAGTCTCCAGGCCACACCATGGCTGAGCACTGGAAATATGCCATCTTGGGGGCCATATAACTTTGAAACTTTCTTCCTGTTGTGCAAGGTTTACCACCTCAAACATTATTTTGTCAAAGATCTTTTCAAGTTAACTCATGAATTCTTTGGCAATACCACTACCTCAAAAACTTAGAAGCTACTGACTTGCCTCTTTTTGGTTCCATGTGCTTGTAAATCACACCCAAAGGTCTTTCCTGGAGTTTGTTTATAATTTTCTTTCTTTCTTTCCTTCTTTTGTCTTTTCTTTTCTCTTTTCTTTTCATTTTTTCTTTCTTTATCCCTTTCCTTTCCTTTTCTCCCCTTCCCTTCCTTTCCCTTTCCTTCCTTTCTTTCTCCCTCCCTTCCTCTGTTTCTTTCTTTGTTCCTCCCTCCCTCTCTTCCTCCTTCTCTTCCTCCTCCTCCTCCTCCTTCTCTCTCTCTCTCTCTTTCATCTCCCTCAAAGATTTTTGATACCTTATTTCCTGCTGAAACTAAAACCAACTTGGGATATTGACATCTTAGTTCTGTGACCACCAGCTCTATCACAGACCTTGTTTTCTACTAGAGCCATTCACGGCCAAGGTCAAACCCTTGATCTTGTCAGTACCAATAATTACCATCCTTTGTAATCTCTATTTCAAACATCCCACTGTCTCATCTCGTCAGCCTCTCTCACATTCCAATGATTCTTCTACCTTGCCAGAACATACAAACCGCTGATCCTAATCCTTTCACAGTGTCCCTCAGTTCCCGCATGCTTTCATCTCTCTCTTTACCTGACTTACACTCCATGGTACCTCTTTAAAATCACTCCTTATGTAAACTTTCAATTTTTTTTGTCCCCCTCACTTAGTTGTACTTCCCTGGCAAAACCCCATCCCTGGGTAAATGCAGCTCTCTCCCTATTCCATGCCTGAACCCAGGCAGCTGTGTTTTCTTGGAGAAAATACACACAACAGTCCTCTACATTCAGGACCACTAAGCTTGAGTACGTCCTCATTGGAGTCCCACAGCTGCACTATAGACCCCTTGTCCGTTTGCTGGCCTACTGTCCTGGAAACAATTTCACACCTTCTCTTTTCACCTCAGACCTCCAAGATCTCCTTCCCAATATTCATGGCAGACTCTAACTTTGCCTTCTTTCTCACTGAGAAAGTATAAACATGCAGAAGATAACTTTCGAAAGCTCCCACACTGACATCCACTTGTGCCTTAGATATTATCTTACATACTCATGCATACTACTCCAGAAATTGCCTGTTTTTTTCTTTTTATTACCATTTTCCTTCTGTACTAAATCATTCCCATCAGTATATAGACATGCTGTTATTTCTTCCACCTTAAAAATTATCTCCTCAATCCCACATCTTTCTCCCAGTACTTCTCTTTATATTTGTGCCTCCCTTTTTTTTTTCCCCAGAACTTGTCAAAAGAATATGTCTAAATCCTTCTCATTCTCATTCAGGCTTTTGCTGCTATTCCAATTTCCTCCAAATGGTACTACTGACCTCCACATTATAAAACCAGCGGTCAATTCTCAATTCCTATTTACTTGATCTAACAGCATTGTTTAAGCAATCTCCTCTCCTTAAAATACTTCATTCACTTGGCTTCCAGTATACAACATTCTTTTATGTTTCCTCCCAACTCTCTGGTCAATTCCTATTAGTTTCCTTTGCTGGTTTCTCATCATCTTTCCAATATCTTCTAAGCATTGACATTCTTTCTTCCACCAAGCTCATTCCTCTTTGAAATCTGCATTTACTCTTTTGGTGATCTGACCTAGTCTTGTGGTTTTAACACCAACTATATGCTGCCTTCCCTAGTTTATATCTCCAAATAAGTCTGCTACCCGAACTCTAGGTCTTTATATCCAACCACTTAAGCAATGTCTCCATGGGAATATTTAGTTGGCATCTCAAATTAACATGTCCAAAACTCAATTCCTGATCTTTGACTTTATTCTTAAAATTGTTTCCCAACCCTTATAATCTTTTCTATTTTAATTAAGAACAACTCCAAATACCATGGAATAATTTTTGATTCCTCTTTCTCTCACACTCATGTTTAAGCTGCCAACCAATTCCTCTGGTCTCCATTGAAAACATACCCTGGACCAGGGTTGTCCCACCTTTTGGCATCTCTGGATGACACTGGAAGAAGGAGTTATCTTGGGCCACACATTAAATACACAAACACTCACGAAAACTGATGAGCTAAAAAAAAGGGGGGGCTTTAAATAAATTTATGATTCTGTGATTTTGTGTTGGGCCACATTCATAGCCATCTGGGAGGCATGCAGCTTGCAGGCTACAGGTTGGACACCCCTACATCTGGACCAAACTACTTTTTACCACTTCTTCTGTTTTTCAAGGAACGATAATTCTTTTTTCTGGATTAGTTCAGTGACCTCTTGACTGGTATTTCTGCCTCTATCCTTGGCCCCCAAACCCCAAACCCTTACAGTCTTTTTTCTACCCTGCAGCCAGTGTGATTCTGTTAAGTATGTCACTGTGTCTCTCCTTTGCTCACTACCACCCCCATAGCTTCCCAAGTTGCTCAGATTAAAAGCCAAAATTCTAACAATGACCTACAAGATCATTCACTGGCTGCCAGACTCTCTGACCACATAAGCTGTTACTCTCCCTCTGGTCATTGTACTTGGATCCTATCGGCCACCTATTGTCTTCAAAGGATCCAGGAAAGGTCCTACCTCAGAGCCTTAGATTTTGCTGTTCTCCCTGCCTGCAGTAGTCTTTCTTCAGATGACTATGGCTTGATTATTGGTCTTCAATTCTCTCTTCAGATGTTACCATTTTAGTGAGGCCTTTCTTGACAACCTATTTAAAATTGGAATCCCACTCAGTTTTCATCCTCCAATCTCCTCTCTAGTTTTATTTTTTTCATAGCATTTGTTACCATCTTCTAACAAACAATGTTATTTATTTGTTGTTACCCGTCTTCCCCTACTAGAAGGTAAACTGCTTGAGGGCAAGGATTTTTGTCTTTTTTTTTCACTGCTGTATCCCCAGTCACTAGAACAGGCTCAGAATAGGTGATCAGTAAGTATTTGTTGAAGAAAGAAAAGAAAGAAGGCATATCTTCCTACTCCCAGTCTTAGAATTTTTCTGCTATATTATAAAAATGTATCATCCCCACAATGAAACAAAAAGTAAATCCTTGTACATTATGCATTTTTGTTGTTTTATAAATTATTTACAAGATCATTCTTTGTTTATAACAAATGCAGTGTTTTAATCTTCAATATAACTTTCCCTTCCACTCATCAAATTCTAATTTGTATTAGAATATTAAACCTATATGAATTGAAAATGTAATAAAAATACTGACGAAGAACTATATCAAGTGCTCCTTTGTGGTTACTCAAAGAATCAGAACTAAGTCAGAATATATTTTAGCTGCCAATAATGCAGACTTACTTTTAGTCTGCCAAGCAATAGTTTATCTACTTGATTCAAGCCATATTTTTATGCATTGTGTCTTTTGTTAACTGTCAGCATGGCCCGGACATGTGTCACACACATTTAAAGGACAGAATGTGATCAATTAGGATACCCAACCTCAATGTGGCCTTCATTTTTGGCTAATCATATGTTGATTGCTACTAATCAGCATCCTATTTGAAGTGAACAAATTGGGATGATAAAAAGAGAGAGTAAAGAGCAGTTGCTATGTTATTTTTTAACAGCTCATTTTGTGTCTGGAATGAAATTTGGTGTCCTTTTTAACAAACCACTTTTACTCGTATACCATTTTAATTACTCTTTTATATGTTGTATAACAGGATTTTTATATGTATAATATACATTGTATGTGTATATTTTTGTAAATATAGAATCATCATGGTCCCAACTGAATTTAAAGCCTGAGAAAGCATCAGTATTTTCAGTATTCACTTTTAAAAATCTATTTAAATGTATCCAATAGGGGAACTAGTTTAGTTATCTTTCAAAGTCGTTTAGTAAATTGTCAAAGTTGTTCATTTAGTTATTCACCTCCTGCCGTAGTTTTGGGGTCGACATCAAATGTTCTTGTGTACAGCAGAAACATGACCCAAAGATGGGAACGAGATGTGGGCTCAGCAGCAGTGTCTCTACCTAACAGCCAGTGGAGATTGAGCGAGAATCTGGCCAGTAAGAGTCTTTAGCAATGTGTACAGTTGGGAGATGGAACAAGTCAGAGTGGAGAGCACTTTCACAAGGAGGAATTGAATGGGGAAGAGAGAGTATGCAAGAATCGACTGCAACTCTCATGACTTAATATGATTTTTTTTCAAACAGAAGCAATACCCATAGAATGCATCTTTTCTGAATCTGCTTTTTTCTCTGGGGAGTTACTGATTGGATTTTAGTCACTCTACAATGGCTCTGTAGACTAGCAAAGGGATCTGGTTTGGCATTAATAGGTCCCCAAAGTTCGTTAATGCGAAGTAATTGCATCGGTGACCTCTGCCCACGTTTGACTGGTGTTGCTAAAAGACTATAATAATGATTGATTACCACCAATAGCCCTCATTTTGTTAGTTTCTTATGGTAATAAAACCCCAATTATGTTTTGAGAATTGTTGAGAATTCACTGGAACTGATAGTTATTAGTGGCATACATAAGATATTAACATTTGGAACTTTTTAAGTTACCATCTTATTCAAACATAGGAAAGAAAGCAAAATTCTAACCCTGAAAATGCATACACTATACAGGAAAAATTGGTGAAACCTGAATAAGGTTAATGGATTATAAGATAATCAATTTCTTGATGGTGATATTGTACTATAGTTATGCAAATTATTACTGTTGGGCAAAACTGGGTGAAAGGTATGTGGAATCTGTTATTTCTCACAGCTGCTTGTAGATCTAAAATTATCTGAAAATCAGAAGTTAAAAATATGTGTAAGTCTATCATTGTATAGCATCTTATTGTTTTAACAGAACATCACCACCAAAGAGCAAGGAGTAGAGACTGATAGCTAGTATATGAAATTTTGTCTTTTACAATAAGATTAGAAAGTTGATTTGGTTTCTTGAATGTAAAATGGTGCTTGCTGTTTATCATGGTGGATGATTTAGAAGTCTAATCTTATAGATACTTCCTTGGTTTGTTTAACTCAATTCATTCAGTTTCTACCATTGTGTTCCTTTCCTTCACAGATCTGTGTCTCCAAGTGCCCAGAAAAATTTTTAACTTATATGGAAATGCAATTTCCATTCAAAATAAACAAACACTCTTGGACATATTATAGCCAGTTCTGCAAGTCCCCTATTACTCAGCCTGCAAAGGTATATGTGTTTAAGTTTATAGATCTAGAAAAAATTTAATTTTTGTTTTACTCTCAAGTGTAACATAAGCATTTGTAACTGGAAAAGCTCCTAAATCGAGGAAATGATTACTAAATGTACCATTCTGTTAAAATATATGCACAAATGCACATATACATACAAAAACACACATACCATTTACAGAATATCATTTTGTAGACTGGGGATGGGGGTGGTTATGCAAGATGATTAAGTCTGGTAAGTTAGCTTCAACTCTTCCATGACATCAACAAATTTTCTACTTGCATGGATGTTTTTGCTGTCAAGAGCTGAGAACTTCGACAGAAAACAGTATGGTGATTACCAGAGGGAAAGACAGGTGGGGGAGGTTAGGAGAGAGAGTGTAAAAGTGGAATAAATGGTGATGGAAGGAGACTTGGCTTGGGGTGGTGAATACTCAATACAATATGCAGTTGATGTATTATAGAATTGTGCACCTGAAACCTACATAATTTTATTAACCACTGTCATCCCAATAAATTTAATTTAAAAAAGAGTTAAGAGCAACTGTCGTTTACAGTCACCATTTAATTAATGCATTGATGAAGCCCAATGGCTACTTAGTAACAAGTACAATTTTACTTACAACTCCAGTTTCATAATATTCATTTTAAAGTATCCCAAAACCCTACCTAGGTTTAAATTTTATAAGGGAATCCTAAAGCTTCGTTATATTAATTAGTATTAATGGCTTCCAAATTAAAGAGGAGCTATTTTTCCAGAAGAAAATGTAAGGATTAGAGACTCAGGATGTGACCAGGATAAAGATACACACTTACAAATGTGTGCCTTGGTTTCAGAGAGTCTGGTTTTATTATTGTTGACTTGACTGAATTGTACTTAGGGCATTTAAGAGCATTTGTCAAATATGTATGTGGGAGAGATAATCTTACAGTTAGTTTTATTAGGGGAATAATTTGGAATAATGAGATTATCATGCAACTGAATGTTTAAAGGACAAAATTTTTATATTGAGGGTAAAAATTGTCATTACATAGTCTTTGAAATGTTAACATACTCTTCCTTCCATTTTAGTCTCTCTCACAAATAATAATGGATGATGATTGTCCAACAGCGATTTTTCCAAGCAAACCTTGTAAGTGGTTATTGTTTTATTTTAGAAACAAAGAATCTATGAAGGAGTCATTTAATTCAATTTCCTCATTTCACAGTGGATGAAGCTGAGGCCAAGAATAGTGCTAGGACTGGCCCAACATCCCCGAGTTAATTAGGAAAGAAGCCAGAGCCAAGGCACAATGTCCTAACACTAGACAGGGATATTTCCACTGGAGTTATGTGAATTGGGGGGGTTTTGCTGCATAAATACATATATAAAAAGACAGAAAATTGATTTTTGAAAGCCCAGTCAAATTGATTAATTGGTGTTCTGTGAACTTCCAGAGCACACACAGAGACATACTCTTGTACACCGACCCTAGAATTCAGACAAAATATTTGTGCATAAAATGTTTGGGGAATGAAGGTTGGACATACACTTGTCTTTATAATTTGAAATTTGAAATATTTATATGTCTCCTGAAAGAATCAATATTCTATATCTTTAAAATTTATAAACTTCATTTAACTGTGTTTAGAAGAAAATAAAATAATCACTCATTTTTCTTCTTATGGATATAATTCTAACTATAGAGAAAAAACTTTACATAAAGATGTTTGCCACAACCTTATCCAATAGGATCCCATCCAAAAAAAAAAAAGAAAAAGGAAATACTCTAGTGCTCAAGGGCAAAAGAATGCTCAAATAGTTACTGATATATTCACTAAATGAAATATTTTAGAATTATTAACTATAAGTATTATATAATATTATAATGTTAAATAAAATGCAAAATTCTATATGCATTAGAATGACAAGTATGTGTAAATTAAAGTAAAGAATAAAGTACTCAAAGAAAATGATTAGAAAGAAATATGCCAAAATATTAAGTGGTTATCTTGGGAATGGCAAAATACTGGGTATTTTCTTTCTTCCTTTTTCTACAATGAGTGTGTATTTCTTCTAAAATGGAATAAAGTTGATATCCATTCATCAGGTTTGAGTAGAAAGTCAGGTAGAAACTGAAGCAGCTACCACCAAACACAATGTCTCATAGGCTCCTGTCACTCTCCTCTGGGTCATTGAAGATTCAAGCAAGATGTAGGTTTCTCAAGCAATTGCATTTTACCAGGAAGCTTTAGGCAGCAAGTGTCTGTAGCCAAGAACAGTGTTACAAATTTTTATGCAAATGGGTAAAAATGAATCATTAGTCACTAAAGATACAATAAGTATTAAAGTATGAGACATAGTCCCTGCCCTTACAAGTACAGCGTGGTTAAATCTCACACTATAAAATATACATTGGTGATATAGAAATAAATAAAGCTTAGTCCGTCACAGTCCAGTGCAGGAGATATTAAGATAAACATCGCAATCCATGTGTGTTCCCCCAGTGTGAGATTAAGTATAGTTACTTAATGGAATAATATGCAGCTAGTAAAATTTACTCATTAAAGAGTTATACAAGGAAATGAGTATTAATAAAAGAAAATATAAAACAAGGGAAAACACTGCAAGTAAGGTATGGTTATAACTCAAAAAGAAAAGTTTCTTGTAGGAGAAAGACTGAAAGGGAATACACCAAAATACAGTTCACTGTGGGTAGTAGAACTATGTATAGTTTTATATTTTCCTTCACATTTTCTCTTTTTTCCAAATATATAATGAGCATATTTAGTAATTGAAGCTAACAGATTGGATGAGTTATTGCCTGGAAATAATATTTAGAACAAACCTAGAGGATGCTGTAGGTGGAAACAGTCATGTTTAAGGAGTGGAAAGGGCAAGAGTGTACAGAAAGGCAGAGGAAGGGCAGGCGAGAATCTGGACAAGAATCTGGGCAAGGAAAGCCTCGAGAGGCAGGCGTTGTCCACCATGTCAAAAACTCAGGAAAGGTAACTCATTCAACAGCAAATACTTACTGAGTTTCACACAAGATGAAGACTAAATAATATTTGTGAGTTGTGGCAATTAGAAGGTCTTTGGGATCACTGCGAGTCCAATTTCCATGGCGTGGTGGGGACAGAAATATGATTGGGTTAAGAGGAAATAGAAACAGCTGGTAGAGACTTCCCCGATGTCAATTATGCCAGGGAGTGGGAAGGGGAAAGAAAGAGAGATTAATGAAAGTGCTACAGAAGGTGGAAGTGGGTAGACAAGAGACTGCTTTCAGCCAGGAAAGTCAGGAAAGGCTTTATAAAGACATATTTCTTCCTTTCCTGTGTCGACTGCTTTAATACGTTCAAGTCTGAACTCTATATGAACCCTTGCAAATCTGTGATGCTTTGTTGGGTTGCAACCTCCAGGAGAACTTCCCAGGTGCAATCTGAAACCAGCTCCAATGCACAGAGGCAGAGAGAGACTAAAGAAAATTTAGGCTTAATAAACAAGAGATCTTAGTAGGCTTGTCTAGGGCAACCTCTAGACAAGTTCTCTGCACCCACACACCAAATTTGAAAAGTTTACCTACAAACGTTCACTGGGGTCAGTCACAGACAGAGGAGACCTGAGCAGTGTTTGTCACACACTCACTCCGGATACTCTCATCACCATATTTCTAGCTCAAGATTGTGACCTTGGGCAGCTTCTAGCTTGGAAAAGGCAAGCAGAGAGCACACCTCAAGGACAGAGGACAGAGTGGGGACACTCCAATTGCCTGGGTCCAGCTAGTGGTTCGAACCAGAGGTCGCATTGTCGTATCTTTTTGATGACCTTCCCCAGCATTCTACCCCTTGTGGCTGTGACGGTGTCTTCTCTTGCAATGAGCCCCGAGAAGTCAGCAGGAGGTTTCACTAGCATGGAGATGGCTCCTCTGGTGCTTATCTGGCAACATATACAATACGTTATATGTTTATATATATTTTTATATATATTTGACAGGTGGGTACAAAAATCTACTTGCCTTGCAGCTGCCCAAATCAAGCCTCATTAATCCCCTTGCTTATTAAACCTGCCATCTTCCAATCTAGAGTGATCTACCTTTTCCTTCAGCTTCTCCTTGCCCTCCACATTTGGGGACTCATTTTAGATTTATACCCAGAAAGTTCCCAGCCAGGCTTATGAACCAGCACACATCCTCTAAGAAAAAATATTAAAATGATCTATTTCTGATTTCTTTCCCCACTTTATTTAAAATTGGGTTTTAAAAATATTTTTAGTAATACAGATTTATAAAGGGGCGAGGATTTTATTTAATCAAAATAGAAGGTTGAATGGCAAGTTAACTCTTTTCAGAAGCTGTAATAGTCTACAAAGTGGGGGCCATTTTTGATAGCTTCAGTATTTCCATTTCCAACTACTCAAAAAAGAATGTAAATGAGAAAGGTAGAAGGAAGACAAATTATTGAGGATTTACAAATAAAAATGTCATTGACTTAGTAGTACCTAAAGTTTGAGCTGGTTTTTATTTCCTAAGAAATTATTCACTAATGTTTAATTTTCAAGGTTTCACTCAAGGAGTACCTAAGCTTTTTTTTTTCTTTTTTTAAATAACAAAGCTAAATTCATCCAGTCATACAAATAAATGTAGGCTTTTAAAAAATGTGTTTACCATGAGAGATACATGATCAGTATTCTTCTTTTAATATCTGTGCTGTGTTTCTTACTTTATGAATGTACCATGTATAAAATAATCAAGTTTAGAATGTAATTTCAGATTGTCATCATATTTGCTTTCTATGTCAATCTTAGAACAGACAATTTCCTGATAACCAAATAATGGGCAATTATTTATACTGAGAAATTAACACACTGTCTAGCAAGAACTTGGTTATAAGTGACTGAAAGCATAACAAAAGGAAGACATCATGTGGGAAAGAGTAGAAAACTGATTACCATCATTTTATTTATTTTTACAGTTCTCCAGAGATGTTTCCCTGACTTCTCTACTAAAAATGGCATTTTAACAGTAGGAAATAAGACAACATTCGAGGATGGGAAGGGAAGGACAAGAAATGCTATGGAACTCAGGGCAGCTGCAAAGTACGTTTGTTTACATTCCCATTTTCAGTTTTGATGCATCCCGTTATTGAACCCAAAACTACAGCTTCCATTAGGCTGTCATACAGGAAGAATTATGTATTATGAAATATACATGTCCCTGTGGATTGGAGAGCGTGGTATATGTTTGTTAAGAAAAGTATCGAAAGGAGAAACCAGAACAATTAGAAAGAACAATCATGTTTTTCAAAATGGTTAAACCTTTATCATTAGGTATAGAATGAAATCTATAAATCAGGAAATGTACTGAAAAATCATCACATAACTTAGTTTTTGAGTAAATAATTTTAAGAGAAAACTATGCTTTTTAAAGCACCATTTAAAAAACATGACTGAAATACTGAAACTGCCAGATGTTTTAAAGGGAAAGGGCCGTAAGAAAGGTGAAACTACCATGTTAGTTTCCATGAAACGGCTTCCATGCCATTTCAGTACTGGATCAAATTTCTACGTACTAACTACAATGAAGTGAACTTACTGTTTCCACTGGCTGTACCCATCATGGCATTCCATATTACTGAGAAGTGTAAACACACAGAGATTTATTGCATTGCTTAGTTGTTCAGTTAAAAATGAAATATAAAGATAACCTAAAGTGTAATTTGTCTTTCTTGAAGGACTTTAGCAGTCCAAATAGAACAGTGAAGTTCCTGCATTTTTAGGATATAGTAGCAATATGGACAAACTTCTCAAATATAAAGCTGTGTGAAATAATGCAAGTACAATTACATTACTAAAAGAAAATTCAAAAGCAAGCACCACTAAGTTAAGTTACCCTGTGATGCATATATAAAAGATAAAACTAATTGAAAAAAGCTAGGAAATCATTATTACAAAAGTTGGGATGTGGTTCCTTTTGGGGAAAGGGAGGTAATTGGAGCACATTGGAAAAGGGATGTCATAGTTGTAGCTACATAAGTGTGTTCACTTTGATCATTCATCAAACTGGACACTAATGATGTGTGCACTGTTCCATTTGTGCCCCATTGTGCCTACCTGCTACAGAGTTGTCAGAGGTTTAGGAAGGTGAATTAATGATGATGTTCATTCTTGACTCTATGGATTTTGTAAGTTAAAAACTGATCTTTACATTTAAATTCATTTCATACAGTGAGCCTTCTGCAATACTGAGGGCACATCGCATATGTGAGAAGAGGATCTTGTTCACCTTTTTTGAAAGCCATGCTCTCTAATGTGTGTAGATATAGTCACCTTTGTTGATTTACCAAAGTGACATTTTATGAATTGTTGGGTCCAGGAAAAGAGTCATGCTGATCAATGGTTTCTAACAATATGCTTTGAACAGCAGCTTGCAAAATTCTTCTTATCACAACAAGAACATGTCTGTTTAGTGGCAGTTAAAAAATAATTGATTTTTTTCCTTCTTTGAATTCAGTAATATGAATAAAATCCTTGATGCGAAGGCAATTGGAATGAGAGTGTTTGAAGACTATGCAACAACTTGGTATTGGATTCTCATGTAAGTGAAGACATAGGTGGTTTTTTCCAAACCCCATTCTGATTTTATCTTTGTAGAACTCTTCAGATTTCCTATATAATCATGAATTCAAAGTTGGCTCAGATCTCAGTTCCTGCCATTTTCTTTTTCATATAGAATAAAAATAGGACAAAGATAATTGGAAATATGTCCAGTGTTAACAGAAAGTTATGACTATAAATTTTAGCTGTAGTCCTTAAAATACTCTTATAAACATATATTTCAAGTTATGTGGGGGCAACATCTATAGTATGTTTGCTTCCTATCACATGTTATAGTAGATGCAGTGTTATTTCTCTGGTCTGTTTTCTCCTTTGTTCTTCATTGACTTCCAAGAGATTATTCTTATTTTTATAATATGTCCCTTCCACACAATGGTTATTATCATCATCCACAAAGATCACTGTACTTATGAAAAAATATATGAAGAGAAGAGGAAATTAAAATTTTTCAGTCATAATATTTGCAGTCCTGAAAATGCAGTCACACTACTGGAGAGAGTACATGTGTTTGCTATATGTAAGGATGCCATTACTATCTGGCTGTTGTGTCACCGTTTTGTGTCTTAGAAGCATCTGAGGTTTCCTACTGATCAAAGAATAATGTGAAAACCTCTTTAGATACTTACAAGGACACTTACAACCTAGCCCAACTTAACTTTTCAGGTTCATCTCCATCCAGGTTTTTTGATTAACCCTATGTTCTAAACACATTAAATACCACACCCAAGTTTTTGCACATTTTGTTCTCTTTCCTAGCATTGTCATTCCTTGTGCCCTAGGTAACTTTACCTCATTATTTAAAATCAGCTTTCATGTCATTTATGAAGTCATACTTTGATTCTGCAGACATAAGTAGTTATTCCCCCTTCCGTGTTCCTCATACCCATTGTGTGTGTTTACATACTTACACATACATACACATACATGCCTATCTTCGACATAGCACCTATCATCTCATGTTTGGCTCTTTCCTTCTGATAAACTATGAACTTTTTACCATGGTAATTATGTATAAGTCATCTTTATTTTCCTAAGTCCCTTTATGGTTCTTAGAACATAGAAGATGCATTGAAAATGTCAGTTCAAGGAATATTTATAAAAACACTAGGGGGACAAGATAAATATATATATATAACTTTTAGGGGCTTAATAAAGTCAGATTTTGTGTAAAATACTAGTGAGTAATTTTTAGATCTGTAAAATTAATTTTATGAGATTTTAATGCTTTGTCTTAAACAATTGCAGTAATTATTGTTAGTACCTATCTGGATTTCAGGATATCTCTCCATAGCAGAGAATATGGTGTATACTTGATAGTCAACTGACTCACCTATTGTCAGACTCAAATATCACTAAATAATTTCCATGTTTCTTCTTTTATTTTGGCTTTTCCACTCTTGTCTTAAGAGGTATACATTATGCTAGACTCTATTGTGCACCTCACTCCCAGCACATACACTGGAACCCTCTTTACCACCCTGGCACCGCTCATACCACTAGAACATAAGCACTTTCCTTTATTTTCAACTCTTCTGCTCTCATCTATTTAATGAATATAAAGCCAAATACTGATATGCTGCAACTTAGCTTATTCAGTTAGAATTTTTATGCAAGAATTTAAAATACACAGAATAAACATGTATATATTATTTTCTCTGACTTTTTAAGATATTCCTCTTGGACTATGCAGAGAATAATCTTTCAGCTATATTGAATATTTAAGCATTAAAGTAATGGTGATGTTTAAAATGAAATGGCTTTGGAAGTTAAAAGCATAGGTTCTGCAAGACTAGGACCTGAGAAGCTACTTTGATACTAGGCTGTGCTCAATGCAGTGGCAGTAATTATTAAGATTTTGTTGGTTTGTGAAGGTGAAGGGACTAGCCAAAGAACATGTGGCATGATTCATAGACACATACAACAGTGCGGTGAGTGTCCGGGGGAAGGCGGGGGCAGGGGCTGGGCTGGGGTAGGCAACAGGAAGGGTGAGAATATCTGTAATAGCGTAAAAAAAAATTAATTAAATGAATGAATAAATAAAGATTTTGTTTGTAAAGATAACACGTGAAGGTAATAAAGTCAATAAACTACCGGACTTTTATCTCTTGCTATGTTTAGAAATATGCAGATAGCACCAGAGCTATCAGCTCTTAAAGAAGCATCAGCCACATTTCCGATCTTAATGAGTTTTCTTTGATAAAATTACCTAAAGAAATCCAATATGACTTTAACTTGGGTATAGTGGGGTAAAAGAAGTATCTCTACTAGGTCACTCAAACTTCAGGAAGAAATTAAAACAGAAGGAAAAGAATCACGTTGTTGATTGCTAAATAAAATCACATGGTCCAGGAGATACAGGAGCCTTATCGTGGTTCCAAAGAGTGGCCTACAGACCACTGGGAACTTGAAATAGATATCTGGTTATGCCAGACATTACAAACTATTAGAGATAATTAGACCACAGTGAAAATGACTGAAAAATCATGAGTCCGAGATCTATGTGGAGGAGATAATTTTTTCTGTCTTTCTATCCTAAGAATCTCCTCTTACTGCTAGACAGTTATTTTTCATAAAGCTTCCATTAGTTGCCAGGTAGAGAGAGCAGCACACATTCATCATAGGTAGGTTTTACAATGTAACACTTATTGGATAGGTGTGAAGGGAGAAAAATAGAACATGGCAACTATGGCAGATGGGCTAAAACTGTAGGCTGGAGAAATTGTGTCATTCCTTGAACAGTGATTGATACTGGACTTCATTTTACCTTGGCACATGAAGATGAGTCACACATAAATTCCCTGATGGTCCTACTCTTTCTTATAAGGTCTTAACAGAAACCATTGTTTGTACTCTTTATGTTATAAATATTTCTATAGCTAGGTTAAATAAAATAATCTGAGAATTATTTCTAAGGAAAAAAACAGTGCTGTCTTGCTGTTTTCATTATGTTTAGCACACTTGACCCTGTGTTTGTTTTGTTTTTTCCACCAGCGGACTGACAGTCTCCATGCTTCTCAGTTGCATGTTTCTACTACTCCTGAGGTTCACAGCTGGGTTGCTCTTCTGGGTCTTTGTCCTGGGTGTGATTGGAATTATAGGTTATGGTATGTATTACCCCTATTAAAATCACCAAATATCAAAATTATCATCCTCTTTTCAGTTGCCATTATCAATTAGCAGAAAGCATTTTCTTGCAGCAAATTTAATTGTACTTTGCTCCCACAAAAAAGGGTTAAATTTAGAACAATTATTTTATTTTGCATTCATTGTCTCTGTAACTTTTTTCTTCTTTATCTTGAAAAAAGTGCCTTCAACATATTCTACTTTTTCACTAGCAACATTTGGTTTCGTGTTTGATGGATATTAAGACAGAAGCAAAAATAATCTTTTTCAGGTTAATGAAACACATTTCAGATGACTTTTATTCTTTTAACTTTTTATTTGATCAAAGGCCACATATGCATGGTTACAGAAGTGTGATCTATTTTTCTCTTTCAAATAAGTGTCTTTAATCCAGGTACTGTCATTCACATTAATAATTGGCCAGGACTCCATAATGATGCATCCCCCTCTAGAGGCAAACATTCTGAATTACACTTACTAGATGCAGAGTTAACTTTATTTCAAGGTTGAAATCTAATCATTAACTCAATCTCCGTGTCCCCCCACCCCCCGCCTCCGCCAAGCAGTACAGGTATAATGTGAACACTAAAAAAGGAACCAAAGTCTCTCCCAAAGAACAGTATAGTGCTGAGGACAGCTTCCTTTCAGAACACGAAGAAAAGAGAATTAAAAAAACGAGGATAGTGTAAGCAGCCTGTAGAACAACTTTAAACAATCCAAAATTCATTTCATAAGGGTGCCACAGGAGAAGAGAAAAAAGCAAAAAATTGGAAATCTATTTGAAAAGCTAATGAAAGAAAACTTTCCTAATTTGGAGAAGAAAATAGACATGCAAGTCCAGGAAGCACAGAGTCCCAAACAAGAGGATGCAGAGGCCCACACGAAGGCACATCATAATTAAAATGCCAAAGGTGAAAGATAAAATCTTAAAAGCAGCAAGAGAAAAGAAGTTAGCTACCTACAGGAGAATTCCCAAAAAGCTGTCAGCTGATTTTTCAGCAGAAACTTCTTAGGCTAGAAGGTGGTGGTAAGAAATATTCAAAGTCATGAAAAGCAGGGATGTACAGCAAAGATTGTTCTACCCAGTAAAGCTATCATTTAGAATTGAAGGGCAGATAAAGAGCTTCCCAGACAAGAAAAAAACTAAAGAAGTTCATCATCACCAAATAATTATTATATGAAATGTTAAAGAAACTTATTTAAAAAAACGAAATTCAAAACTATGAACAATAAAATGGCAAAAAAGACATATCTATCAACAATTGAATCTAAAAATCAAACTAAACAAACAAGAAGAACAGAGACAGAATCATGAATACAGAGAACGTTTTAACGGTTGCCAGATGAGAGGGGGTGTGGGGGAATGGGTGAAGAAGTGAGGGGATTAAGAAGTATAAATAAGTAGTCACAGAATTTACATGAGGATGTAAATAAAGTACAGAATAGGAAATGAAGTAGCCAAATAATTTATACACATCACCCATGGACATGAATGATGGGTGGGAATGGCCTAAGGAAGTGGGGGATACTAGATGGAGGGGGGCAAAGGGGGAAAATCAGGACAACTGTAATAGCATAATCAATAAAATATAATTTTTTAAAAAACAGAAGTAACAATTTCCTGTTTTTTCACTCAAAGAAGAGCTTTACACATATCAATATAAGAATTCAGTTGAACCTTATGACCCAGCAATTCAACTTCTGGGCATTTATCCAAAGAAATTCAAAACAATAATTTGAATAGATATATGCACTCCCATGTTCATTACAGCATTATTTACAATAGCCAAGATATGGAAGCAACCCAAATGCCTATCAATAAAAGATTGAATAAACAATATAGAGTGGAATATTACTTGGCCATAAAAAAGAATGAAATCTTAACATTTGTGACAATGTAGATGGATCTAGAGGATATTATGCTAAGTGAAATAAATTATACAGAGAAGGGAAAATGCCATATTATTTCATTTACATGTGGAATCTAAAGAACAAAGTAAATGAACAACAGCAACAAAAACAGAAACAGACTCATAGATACAGAAAACTGATGGTTTCCAGAGCGTAGGGGATTTGGAGAGCTGGGTGAAAAAGGCAAAGAGATTAAGAAGTACCAGTTGGCTCTGGCTGGTGTGGCTCAGTGAATCGAGTGCTGGCCTGCAAACCAAAGGGTCACCAGTTTGATTCTGAGTCAGCGCACATGCTTGGGTTGTGGACCAGGTCCCCAGTAGGAGGCGTGGAAGGGGCAACTGCGCATTGATGTTTCTCGCCCTCTCTTTCTCTCCCTTTTACCCTCTCTCTAAAAATAATAAAATCTTAAAAAAAAAAGAAGTACCAATTGGTATTTACAAAATAGTCAAAGGGATGTAAAGTGCAGAATAGAGAATATAATCAATAATATAATAACTATGCATGTTGCTAGGTGAGTACTAGACTTATCGGAGGGGATCACTTTATAAATTATATATATGTGTCACCACTATGCTGTACACCTGGAACTCATATGAAATAATATTGAATGTCAACTGTAATTGAAAAGAAAAGAATGCAGTTGAATCCCCAGGTTCTGTAGTTAGCCTAAATTCTAATCCCCGCTTGCTCCATAATATGTAAGTGGGGAACTTTGGAAAAGTTTCTTAATGATTATAAAACCCAGTTTCCTTATCCATAACATTGCTGCAATAATATCTCTCTCACACAAGGCTGTGAGGATTAAATGAAACAACAAGTACAAAGCTCTTAGAACAGTGCCTGGAACACAATAAGCACTCTGAGTCCTGGGTTACTGAGTTTCCAGACAATCATTCGGGTCTCTCAGGCATTCCTGCTGTGCAGCTGCCCATGAAGAGGTGGGTCAGTCTATTGGAAGAACAGTCCCTTAAACGGAAACTCTCAAGAACACTTTTTGTTTAAAAGCCTTTTTCTGTGTGTGTCTGCTTGGAGCTCAAAATAACCTCTGCTATTTGCCAACATAGAGTCTGAGCACGTGATTCGATCACTCTTTCCTTATTATCATGAAGAGAAGGGCAGGAAAGCTTGCTATTGATTTCACTGACTTGTCTTAACCAGCAAGAAAAATCTGCAATTGGCCACAGTCCAAATTTGACAATGGCATAAGGGAGAAAGATGATTAACATCTAAAAAGTGCAGGCAAAACAACCAATTTTAGCTTCCTATTGACTTTCTAGGTAGTGCTAACTCAGCAATTAATGGTGTGGCACGTAAGCTTGAAGTTATTCATTGGGTGGAGAAATGTCACTAGAATGGGAAGTGTAAGAAAGTAAGGCTGAATGTAACTGACACTTGCTACTATCTTGGAAAATTGACTAGTGATATATCATGGGAAAACGGCCATTTCTTACTGACAGCAACCTATTTACCAGGACAGAGAACAATGTAGATGTGTCATATTGCCCAGAGAAAAAGCCAGGCTATTTGTGGGCAAATGCCCATGAACAGCAGTGGAACAGTTCTCCTTGACCAGAACGAGGTAAGAGTTACACAGGGGAGGCCATATGGTTGCAGGCGTTGATTTGGAGACTGAAAGAAGCACAATTCCAGATTCATTACATGTTAACTATGTGACCCTCCGTAAGTACATAGTCTCTTAAATTTTTAGTTTCCTCAACTATATAGTAAAAATCTGTATTGAATAAAATAATGTACATAAAGTTCTTAGAAAACTGCCTAGCACATAATAATTGTTCAGTAAATAATATCTGTTGTTGTTATGATGCCTGAATATTATTCAGAAAGGAGGAGTTGAAGCCCAGGGATATCTTAAAAAGAGAGAGACAGAGATACAGCAATAAAGCAAAATAAAAAGAAATAGGAAAACACTGCTGAGACTTTCACATCCACCATTATGAACGAACTAAATAGCTTGAAGGGTTCTCTTGCTATTAAATAATGGCATAAAAATAATGTTGTATTGTATTATATGATGTATTATTTTGATGAGATTGCAGGAAATAAGGAAAACCTCCCAAAAGAAAAAAAACAAACAAACCATGAGCTAAGAAAGTGGGGAAGTAAGCAGGAGGCACATGTGAAATGCTGAGTAGCCCATGTGAGTGCTACAAACAGGAGGCTGAGACCAGAGTCAGCAGCAGAGTAGGGGAGCAGAGCTGAAACTGCTTGAGTAAGTCTGGGATCCTGGAAATCATCTAAAGTGACCCCAGTGTGGTAGTACCCTTTGGCTGCTAACAGACACAAATATAATTCCCCTCTAGGTGAATGCATCTTCCATTGATATTACCAGGTTTCCACAGATTAAGATGAACAAACTATGAGTTGCAATCAAAAATTACCAAAAATGCAAGGAAATGATCTTTTGTGAGGAAAAAAAATTATAAACACCAGATGTGGTCTCCAAGAAATCCGATGTGAGAATTAGTAGATATAAAACATGAAGTAACCATGTATAAAATGTTTAAGAATTGAGGATACAGTTTTTAAAAATAAGAAATTATTAAAAATGTTCAGGCATATGTGAAGATAAACCAAATAGGAGCGCTCAAAATAAAAAAAAATGTTAAATTAAAGTTAAATTGTTAATTTACATAGCAAATTAGAGAATTAATAAACTGAAAGATGAATCTGAATTACCCAAGATACAGCAGAATATTACAAAAGGACAAAATATGATCATGTGGTTAAGAGAAACAGGAAATAGCTTGAGTAGGACCTAACATATATCAGTGATATTTGAAAGTTAATGGATGAAGATTTTCTAGAACTGATAAGAGATATGAATTCATAGATACAAGAAGCTCTAATTATTCCAAGGAGAACAAAGGAAAAGATATCCATATCTAGTCATACGTCCTTTTATTTGTTCATTTACCAAATATCAATTGAGCAGCTAGAGTGTATAGGCACTATTCTAGGCTTTTGAGATATAACAATAATCAGACAAATGTCCTTGCTATTGATATGCTTACTGCTTAAGCAAATTGTCTAGAAAGTGATATTTTCTATGGAAAAATTAAAAGCAGAACAGATAAAGGGGGACTGAGTGTATCACGGTAGGGCAAGGAGTATCATGATAGGGCAATATTAGTAGGGTACAACTTTTTGAGAAGAGATCTGAGAAGACACAGGAAAAAGGCAATGGAATTAGCCATTGGAGATAATAGAGAGTTCCAGATAGTGAGTACAGCTAGAGCAAAGACCTAAAGATAGGAGGAGTGTGTGGAAGAAAGGGCTAGAAGGCTGGTGCAGATAGGTGTTCTGAGTAAAGGGGAGAATAGTAGGAGAATAAATGCATAGAATTTTTGGAGGGATAGAGACTTAGAGATTATTGTAAGATCTTGCCTTTTACTCTGAATGAAATGGGGAGGCATTGTAGAGTTAGCAGAGAAGGGATGTGAAACGATGATCACTCCAGTCCCTGAGTTGAGAAGAGGCTGTCGTGAAAAAAAAAGAGAAGCAGCAACAAGGTCAGTGAGGTGCCTATTGCAGTAATCCATGTGCCAAATTAGGGAACCTCAGATCACATTTCTAATTTAGAAACAACTGAACTTCTTGATGGATTGAATGCAGCTCATGAGAAAAAGATGGGAGTCAAGAATGACTTTGATGATTTTAGCCTGAGCAACTGAAAAGACAAAGTTGCTATCAACTGAGATAAGGAATGTTTGAGAATAGAGAGCTTGGTGTAAAAAGCGAATTGATCAGAAGTTTAACTTTGAACATGTTGAGTTTGAGATGTTTGTTAGGCATTAAAGTGGCGATGTCAAGCAGGTAATTGGAAGCAATTGGATATTCAGTCTGGAATGAGAGAGAGACAGACAGACAGACAGACAGACAGAGACAGAGAGAGAGACCTAGCCTAGAGAAATACATTTTAAGAGTCAGGAGCACTAGAACTATGAGACTGGCTGAGAGCACCAAGAAAATAAATGTAGATAGAGATATGGGACTGAGCTCTGAGGCCCTCCAACATTAAAAGGTCAGGGAGAGAGGGGACCAGCAAAGATAACTAAGGAGAACAGGAATTTTTGTTTTGTTTTTTAAATCAAAAGCAGGTGTTGTTTTTGAAGCCAAGAGAAAAATGAAGGGAGTGATCAACCATGTCAAACATGGCTAACAGGTCAAGACAGACGAAAACTGAGAGTTGACCTTGGTTTAGAAATGTGGAAAGATGCTTGGTGATCTGAAGAGGGTAGCTCTGGTAAAATAATGAGGGAAATGCCTGTTTAGGGTAGATTGAAAAAGGTTTGGAGGAGAAAAATTGTAGACAAAAAAATATAAACGGTTACTTTGGAGAGTTTGGTTTTAATGGTGAACAAGAAATTGGGCTATAGATGAGGGAAAAAGGATCAAAGTAGAATTTCTTTTGGTTTATTCTTTAAGATGAGAGAAAGAACTAAATGTTTATATAACATTTGTAATGATCTATTAGAGAGTAAGAAATTAGGAATGTAGGGAAGAAACTGTTATGAGGCTTTGTAATATCAATAACCAAAATATTTTAAAAAGAACAGGAGAGAAAAGACAGATCACATACAAATAAACAATTAGGCTAAAGCATACTTTTCAACAGCAACAAAAAAAAAGGGAAATAATACTTCAAAGAGCTAAGAAAAAATAACTGTCAAACTATAGCTAAACACACAGCAAAGCTATCTTTCAAGAAAGAAAGTAATATAAGAATATTTTAAGATAAGAAAAACTAGAGTTCACTAATATACATAAACTTAAAAAAATCCTCAAAGATGTATGTCAAAAAGAAAGAAAATGATTCCACAAAAAGATACGACATAAAAGAAAGAATTATGAGCAAAGAAAATGAATTGGCAAATGTGTAGGTAAATTTAAATAAACTGTGTGTAAACTGATAATAATATCCAACTTTTTGAGGTCTAAATGTACATAAGCAAAATCCTGGGTAATAATCAGAGTGAGGTGATTATTGAGTGATCTAAGGTCCTTTATATTTTCTTATTAAGATACTGACTTTAAACTTGGTTATTAAGAATACATAGCAAATTTTCAAGGGTAATCTATTCTAGAAATAGATATTTCCCATCCAGTAGAGGAGAAAAGTAGAATATAAGTAAACAAACAGACAGGCAAACACAAACTTACCCATTTTTAATAGAAAAAAAATGGAGAGAAAAGAAGTGTAGGCACAAAGTGGAATAGGAAAAGCAAAAAGTAGGTAAAAACAAAAATAAATATATCAATACATTAAATATAAATATGTTAAACTCACCAATCATAATACAAAGATTGTCAAGCCAGATTAAAATATGCATATAAAAGTTAGAGCTCTATGTTATTTACAAACATTATACAACACATAAGGAAATTGACAATCAAGGCATAGATAAAATATACTAGCAGTCATTAACAAAAAGAAAGCTGCAGTAGCCAATAATATCAGACAAAACAGATTTTTAAAAAGAAGTATTATTAGTTATAAAAAGAGTTTGATTCACTAAAAAGATATACCAATTCTAAATATGTATACATCTAACGAGATAGCCTCAAAACTCAAAGAACTACAAGGATAAATAAATAAACTAATGCATAATAAATCTATATGAGAAATAAATCTCCTTTAGGGGGGAAATTTCAACAGATCTTTCTGTTAGAATAGAATAATAAGCACAAAATTCAGAATAATTGCTCTTTGGCAGGAAGAGGCAAGAAGGTATGATAGGACATCAGGTAGAATAAAAAATTTTAATTTGCTTAATTAAAGCAAAATTGAGATTATAAAATCTTAAGCTAAGTGATACATTCATAGGCGTTCATTTTACTTTATGCTTTAAAACCTACTTCTGTATTACATATAATTTTTATGTATCAACTATTTCATAAAGTATTTTTAAAGGAAAATTTTAAAATGCACTGGGAAAGCAGGGCCTGAAAGAAAGAAATTCATCATATCTCTTTGAAAGCAAATGTCTTTTCTAGTCTAGCCTTGTCTCTGTGTCCATGGGTCTCACCTTTATATCTAAAACAAACAAACGAATGAACAAACAAATCTGTTAGTTTAAAAAGCTGGAAAATTTCCAATAGACCTAATCCAGACCTATTGATCATTAAAATGGATAGACTTCTTAATTGTATTTTTTACTATCACTTTGTAGACTACGTAAAATGTCATTAATAGCCTGAAATACAGAGTTTGGGGGAAAATAGAGTTAGTTCATATTTGCCTTGCCTAGACAAAAACTTTGATAAAAATATGCTTTAGGTAATTCCACCAATACCGGGCTTCACCATAAAAAAAATTGAAAAGGGCTTTTTTTTTTCCCCAATATAAATGAATTTTTAAATTTGCTTTTTAAGTTGATTATATATTGATGTGCTTGAAATTTCAAAAGATATGAAGTGTATACAGTGAAAATTCGCCTTCTCATTCTGTTCCCAGGTCACTAAGTTTCCCTCCCTGAAAGCAAAAAAATATATTTCTATGTACCCTTACAGAGATACTTTATGTGTGTACAAAAAAAATATGTAAAAATTATTCTTATTATAAATATTATAGCATACATTTTGTAGTTTGCTCTTTTTACTTAACAAAATATTATAGAAATTATTTAATATCATTAGTCTTTTTCCTTTTAATATGTAAATATAGTGTCCCACTGTACAAGTATTTAACCAGTCCCTAGTGATGGATATTAAGGTTGTTTCTAGTCAAAAGGACATGTAAAGCCAAATGTTGCCACAGTCATCCAAACAAATGCTCAAAATGTGTATATTGAATACAATAGCACATTTAAGGCTACTAGATCAACATAAAATATTTACTCTGTGAATATGAATCTTACCGTTGTAGAAATGACCATACTGGTAAAATACATGTAGATATGTGTGATAAGTGCATTGCTTATATTTCAGAAAATAAGATTTAATATGTCTGTTTTTCTTTCCTTTTCAAGGAATATGGCACTGTTACCAGGAGTACAGCTATCTTCAGGAACACCCAAATTCTCATTTAACTATATATGACATCGGGATTCAGACCAACATAAGCATGTACTTTCAACTGAAACAAACATGGTTCGCATTTAGTGAGTGGATTTTAAAAACTGGTTTTGTTAAAATTGTAACAATGAGAAAGCATCTTTTTGTCCAAAGGTACACTTGGGTTGGTGCAACCTGTTAAGCACACTCACCACTAATATCCTTAAAGTAAATGTGTTTATAGTCCTACTAGCTACAGTAAATGGAAAAGTCATTGAGTGGGATTTATTATATAATCTAAGAAAACATTATTTTACAATGGTTTCAAGCTTTTTGCCTTAACTTAAAATGTTTTGGATGTGGATGTTGATAGCCATTAACCTGATATCCAAGAAAGATGTTTTAAAAGAAAAAAATGCTTGATATTCAAATTTGTTTTTAAAAAGAAGAAAAAGGAAAAAATAAGAAACAATTTTTTATAACAGGAATTTTAAACTATTTATTATAAGAATTAGAATAATAAGTAACTAAAAATAAATTTGTATTTTGGACTCTTCAGATTATCAAATTAGTTAAGGGTAATATTAACAAAATTTTTAAAGCAAGATGACTTCAGAGATGGCTTTAAACCTATATTCCTAGAATGGTTTTATTATAATATTCCATGCAACTCACAGAATCATGTTTTTTAATGAAGATTTAAAAAGTAATCTCTAATTACATGTTGCTTTAAAAGAAAATTCATCTTCATATTGTTGAAATTTGAGAGCCAGGCAAAGCATGCTGAAGGAAGTCTGGTAAAGGATCCCAGAGACAGCCTCAGAGGGGTCAGTATTATGGGGGATCATGATTCCAAGTATGGATTCCATCCCCGTGAATTTGAAGACTCGATTTTGTCACTTCACCTAAAAGTCATTAGGCTTTCGAGTACAGGCTCACATTATGTCACTAAAGTGCCATTTTATTTGTTTACACTGTTAATTTTACACCATCTGATCCGCTATTTGTTTTACAGTCTCCCTGATCAGATTGCAGACACAACCCATGTAGGACATTGCTTTCCTGGGATCAAGGCATATAGAGACCAAGGGTACTAAGAAGCAGCCTTTCCAGCAGAGGGTCTCAGATAGTTTTGAGAGATGTTTTCTTCAGGCTCATGCCAAACTTGATGACCTGGGCCTTCTACACAGAAACCCCCACCAGATGCCTTTGTTTACCAAATTTGGTTGTTCTCTTTTCCTCACATAGTGCTGCATCAGAACACCAAATCCTTGCTCTTTGGCTTCTCATTTCTAGCTCACATCAGACTAGTTCCCTTCACATAACAAAGACATTATTTTTTCAAATACATTGCAGAAGAATTATTTCATTTATAGCCATTTTTAACTATAAAAATCAGACATCTTGGAACTTGCATCCTCATTTAATCACTCTTCCTGAATTTGAAGTGATTTCTTATCTCCTCAGCAATCCACTTACTGTCAGCTGTCATTGCTAAAGATGACAAATCTCATCCCTTATGTATTGTAACCTCTAGTTTGTCCCTCAGATGAATCTTAGTTACAGGTTCTGTGGTCATCCACTGCTATCTCTTAAGGAGCTTCAACACACACACATACAAAATCATTGAGATGATCAGAATCTGCTACTGGAAAATTAAGAGATGTGCTTTCAGCAAAATACAGAATTTGCTTTTCTTTTCAAGCCTAGAAATACTAATTTTTTCTCAAATGAACCTCAGCATTTACAGCCCATTTATCAGGCATGAACCAATTACTTGTGCTGTGTTTGGACAAAATTCTAGACACCCAAGACAAGTGTATATGTGTGATTACAATAACAGAAACACTGAAAATAAGCAGGGTTGTGTATACAATAATGTAATTTTTATGAGTCTTGGCTTGTGTTAGGAGATGGTTGTATTTTTATTTCTGCTATTAATTATCCCAGTCTCTTCCTCTGTGAAGCTATAGTTATAATACCAGCTTCTCTATAAGATCTCAAAAAAAAAAGTTCCTATTGTTTGTTCTTATTCAAACACAAGGAAGGAATATAATATGTAAATTCAAAGGGCAGTTAATTTCTCTAATATAATCATTTTGAACATGTAATTTTATAAAGATAGAAGTTTGATATGCAATGTTCTTATCAATGCAATTTCAGAACATAAAGCAATTCTGGTATAACACGTACTCTTAAGTTCATCCAAAGAAGGTAATGATTTTAGCTTAATATAGCTATACTCCACGATTTGGGGCTCTATTTTATGTTTTAAGTGAATCAGATGTGCATGGAAACATAAATACACAGTTTAACTAAAGAAAGATATAGTAACAAAATGGTACTCTACTAAGATCCTCTCACATCTCTGGGTTAACTGATTTCTGCTTTCTTGGAAATCTTAAATGCTATGTGAGGCAACATCAAGTCTCAGTAGTGTAACAATAGAATGAAATTGTGAGCATTCTAGCACTGGATGTGTTCACGCATCAGCAGAATAACTATCTAGGAACCAGGTTATGGAATGGATTCTTTCACAGGTGGAAATTTAATTAATTTTCCATTAAGTTTCTTTTGTAATTTTAAATTGTTATTAGCAGTGGTATATTTCCTTAATTTTAAGACCATGTCTTTTTATTTTTGAACATCTCTGAAGTCAGTATGTGTCTTATAATTAATAACTATTTAATGAAGGATTTCTTTACTTTTTCTAAAAAGATATTACTAAATAAAAGGTGTGTTTTAGAATTGAGGAAATACAGTATTTCGGACTGCTTGGCTTCAAGTAAAAAGAAAGTAATTCAAGCTAGCTGAAAAGAAAATAAAATTGTAGTAAGCTGGGGCCAAGACAGAGGTATTTTGATTAGATCATAGCAGTGTCTCACAAAACTCAAAAATAAAGCAGAAAAGCAGCTGGACTTTCAAAGTGCACCCAAATCCAGGAAACAGAAGCCAAACAGAATACAAGATTTCCTCTCCTTGCTCTCTCTCTCTTTACACATGTAAACTTTATCCTTTTCTTTGCACATTTATTTACTCTGCAGTAAGATAGTTTTGATGCAGTTTCTTAAGCCTGTATAACTCTTAGTTCAAGACATGTATACACCTGAACTCAAAACCAACCTAGGCTACCTTAGTTCTAATTCCAAGGCTTTTGTTAGACGACTTGGGCTGTGGTTTAAACACTGATACCATCATCGGTGGCCCTGAGTGTGGAGTCACAAAATAAAAATATGGGCAGCTAAGGCCCTGCTGCCCCGTCAGTCAATTAAGAGGTATTGCGAGCAGGGCAGACAAGAATTTTATTCTGTAGCGATTCTCTTCCTCAGTGAAGCCAAAGTGAAACATTTAAGAGCTGCTTAATGCAGCCCTTCCTTCCTTCCTTGGCTGTTTCACATTTCTACAGATGATGTGAAATGTTTCTATAGACTAAACTTGAGCTGGTCCAATTGAGCTGGTCAAACATTAGCTAAAGGTTTTAATCTAGAATTCTTAGCACTTCTTGAAGGTTCTGAAAGTAAATGTCTAAGATTGGCTAAAACTGTCACGTGTCAGAATTGGCAGAAATAATCATGCAGTTCATTCATAACTTCTGTAGCAAAAGTTTGTTTTTTGGATTGATTTGTATCACACACTAATTTTTTTTTCCTGTTTAAAGTGATAATGCTCTGCATCCTTGAAGTGCTTGTCATCCTCATGCTGATTTTCCTTAGGAACCGAATCCGCATCTCCATTGCCCTGCTGAAGGAAGGGAGCAAGTAAGGCCCTGAAGGAAAAACCACTGAGCATATATGTCAGTCCAGTCAGTCCCCAGCTATTGTGTAGATGCCCCAGATTACTTTCTCTTTAAGAAGCCTTGTTAAAGAAATCTGCTTTCTATTCAAGAAGACTTATTCAAGTTCAGTTTGCCACTTATTAGACAGGTCATGCTAACATGTCCTTCAATGTCCCTAAAACCTCAATTATCATGGGTAAAATAAGGTTAAAACCTGTCTAGTCTACATATTAGCACTTTTTTCAAACACTAAATGTATGTTAGGAGAATAACATATGTGAAAGTAAGTCTTAAAGTGCTATATAAAAGTTAGTTATATTGCATGTTTTATTATTCCCATACTGAGTGATATGTTACTATTAATGGTTGAGAGCATTTGCAGAACCTTAAACCACCATAATTATATAAAGTCAGTTGCATACTATTACTGTTTCTATATGAATGACAAAATTCGCCAACAGAAAGAATAATTGACCCCAGTAGCACCAGACTATACATTTTGTATCTACACCTCTTAATGCAGAAACACTTTATACCTTGAGCCATTTTTATTAAAAAATACTATAAAACAAATACTAAATTTTTCATAAACTCATGCTGGGAGGTAATAACAACAACAGTTTCCAAATTATTCCAAACGATCACTCCAGGATAATACTTTAAACTTTGACTAATGCATGGAAGAAATAAAGAAAGCATCACTATAAAGGCAACGGATCATGTTCTCTATTTAAAATGACAGAAACTATGTTATTAATGACCAAGGACCAAATTATTTTAAATAGTCTTTAAGGACTATTTTAAGAAAACTGTCATTTATAATATAACAGTGCTACCAGAGCCCGTGGTTTAACTGGCTCACAAGCAGTTTGTTCAACTCTCCTTCCCACAATAAATGAAGCCCTATCATTAGCCCCAGAAAAACACTGATCTGACGGATTGTTAAAATAACATGATACTGTGCTCTCACTGCGACTTGCACCACTGTTATGCCTCTGGAGGTGTGCATGGGTGCGTGCATGTGAGCGTGTGTGCACATAAAGGGCCGGCACAGCTGTGGCAGGTTGAAAGTTCGCTTCAGGAAAATAAGAGTTGACGTGACTGGGTGCAAGAATACGAGGTGAACAGAGAGAAGCTTAATAATTCACTTAACAGCAATGTCTGGAGAAAGGGAACAACAGCATAACTTAAACAGTGAAGTGACAAATTCAAAAGGAATCTAAGATATGTCCATTCATTAGGAGTGGAATAGTTCCATCAGAGTTCTCAGTAGCTATATCAAACAGTATTGGATTTAATCCACTGTCATACGCTGAAAAGATCATTCACAAGTAGTTAGGGACAGGGCAAGTAGGATGGTGAACATTTCAGAAACCATGTCTTATGAGGAAATATCAAAGGGATAATTATCCTGCAGAATAAAAGAATGAGTTACTCTAAAGGGTTGCTGTGCTGAAAAGGTGCTCATGTCTTTTCCAGAAAGTAGTGGATGTGAATTACAAGCAGGCAGATAAGAAAGAAATTTCTAATATGTTGATAAGAAATAGAATAAGCTGTGTCATTTAAAGTTCCTAACGATGTGGTCACCAGAGGCTTGTGAACATACTTTGAAGGTAGTACAGAAGATTTCTGAATTAGGGAGGGATTCTCACATTTAATGAGATAATCATCAAGATCCTCTCCCATTTTAGAAGTCTAAGAATCTAAACAAAAGGAAGAAATATTATGATTATAACATATCAGATATTTATGAGTCAGAATAAGCAAAGGGGAGAGTTTGGGGAAATCTGGGCAGTAATCAAATGTAAGCATTGAAATAATGTCTCTAACTTACAATAAATAAATAAGATTTAAAAGCTAAGAATATGCCAGCATGATCAGCCAGAAAGAGTCTACAGTTATTACCACTGTTCTTAGAATTAATTTGCTCTAAGGCTTGGTTCTAGTTCTAACAAATAAAAATTTAATTGAAAAATTATAAAATGGGGTCATTTTGAATGCCTACTATTTGTTTTATTTCAGAGCCATTGGATATGTTCCCACTACATTACTTTATCCAGTTTTAACTTTCTTTTTCCTCTCGATCTGTATTTGCTATTGGGCTGTGACAGCAGTGTATCCTTTGGTAATTTATCTCATTCACCCTCAGGTTCACAGAGCTGTTCAGGAACCGGGACTGCGGTGTTTTCCTTCTTGGGGAGATGAGGAACATCCTAAAGAAACAGATAATTTTTTTTTCTGCTAAGCTCTAAAAAATGTTTCAATCAACTAATTGAATTTCCCCTCCTATAGGTCATGTGGTAGATTTTGTTTTATTTTGTTTTCATATTTGGTACCTCTCCCTCATGAGAACCTTAAAAAGTTTCAATATATTTTACTGTTTTTAAGAGACTTCTTAGTGCAGCTGACCCATGTTATACTATTCTGGGTCTGAAGAATGGATAAATTATTTAAAAATTAGAAGTGTTTTGAAGTTAATTTCTCAAAGGAATTTTCAGTTATTTGCATTATTTTCATGTCTATGTATTTTAAACTTACCAGCAAATAATTTATCCTTAATAGAGTTTACTCAGTTACTTGGCTACATCGGGGGCACCCGTATACAAAATTGTAACCCCAGGTGGACATTGCAAACATGAAAATAGAACCTGTAACCCAGAGGTAAGTAAAAGAAACTCTCTCTTTTACTAAACATCTAGCAGTTGGAGGAATCATCCTGAAATAGAGACCCTGTCTATTGATAAGGATTGCTGTAGGGAAGTGGGGAGTTGGTCACGTGTTAGCAGGAAAACACTGAAAGTGGCGGGAGAGTAGAAAGAAAGCTCTACTGTTTCCTGAGCTCATTTGTCTTATCATATAGCCAAGAAGCAGGTATTATCAACAACGGCCCTATTAAATGTGAAACTAAAGGGAGGGGTGAAGAGGGATGAACACAGGATGGAAAATAAGATACAGTATACTTTCCAGAGCTCATTAAAGAATTAAATAAAGTGATGTGATTGAAAATAGGAATAACAGCAGAAGCTCATGGAAAAAGCACAGGACATGCAGTTGGGAGGCCACATAAAAAGAGAAGGCAGAGAGGGTATTATCTTGGAATAGAATTTAATATATTATATTATCCATGTTGTGTTTTTTTTTCTGAGTGCAGATTTTTAACACGACTGAAATTTCCAAAGTTTGCCCTGGTGCTCAGTGCAACTTTGCTTTCTATGGTGGAAACAGCCTGTACCATCAACACCTCACTACCTTCCAGATATTCAATCTCTTTGTCTTTCTCTGGCTTATAAACTTTGTCATTGCATTGGGCCAGTGTGCCCTTGCTGGTGCCTTTGCTTCTTATTACTGGGCCTTGAAAAAACCCGATGACATCCCACCATACCCACTTTTTACTGCATTTGGGCGAGCCATACGGTAAGTTCCACAGTGAGCCCTACATCTATTTTCCAAGTTCTGCTTAGTGTGCTTCTCATTCAATCTTCTGCTTATGATTCAAGCTACAAATGAGCTCAAAGGTATGATTCAAGATTCATGGATGTTCATTGGCTCTGTCTTGCTTTATAGCCACAATTTTATACTCCCTACCCAGGCTAGTATTCTTCTAAAAACCATAGGTTACTAGAGATAAGAGATAGGAGAGGGTACCATATTAAAGCTTAAGGATTAACTTGGCTCTGTCTCTCCATTACTCAGCTCAAACACCCTATTTTATGTTGACAGGCTATTGGTATTATTTTTGTAGATGAGGGACAAAATATGTATGTATGGTTTAAAACTCTCTAGACATTTATCAGTCTGAACAGGATTCTGCTATCAGTCCTGTACATCCTTTTTACCTACAAAATTGTGTAACTAACATCCTTTTAATTAATAGTAAATATATTTAGACTTTTACTCTCATTTTATCTTTGCCCAGATATCACACAGGATCCCTGGCATTTGGATCTTTGATTCTTGCATTAATTCAAATGTTTAGAATAACCCTAGAATACTTGGACAAACGTCTTAAAGGTAAGATTCCAGAACTCATCTTTTCTCAGACCTCCTGACTTCTATGAAGAGAATAGATAGAGGCAAGTGGTTGCAGGAAACATGATGGGCGTAACAAGGGTAGTAAGAGTGGAGGTGGTCAGACAGGGGACATATTTGGAAGGAACAGCCAACAGGACTTGGTGACGATTGGATGTGGAAGGGGGCAGGGAAGAGAGCAGCAGTGAAAAATAAGGGAGAATATACGTGTGATTCTATTTACTAAAATGTCAAAACCAAGAGAAGCAAATTTCAAAGAAGAGATTAAAAATTGTGTTGCTGACATGTTAGTGTTGAGAAGCAAGCTGGAGTTGCCTGGAGGTTTCAAGTCTAGAGCTCAGGACAGGTCAGGCTTAAAATATGCCAATGACAGGTCGATGTCATTGTCATAAATCTTCATACATGACACATATAGTTTATAAACATATAAAGGCTGTTTAGAATGCACTTTAAAATATTATTATTTGCCAAAAAAATCTTGAAACAGAACAACAAATTTGGAGCACTTACATTTCTTGATTTTAAAACTTAATACAGTGATACAGTCATCAAAACAATGTGTCTCTGCCATAAGGGCAGACATTCAGATATAGAATAGAATAGAGAGCCCCCAAATAATGTCTCACATACAAGCCCATTCAATGGGGAAAGGACAGTTTCTTCAACTAATGTTACTAGCAAAACTGGATTTCTATATGCAAAAGAATGAATTTGGACCCTTACCTTACATCATATATAAAAATTATTTCAAAATGGATTATAGGCTTAAACATAAAAGCTGAAAGTATAAAACTCTTAGAAGAAAGCATAGGAAGATATCTGCATGACATTAGATATGATGATTTCTTAGACATGAGAACAAAAAAACAAAACAAAAACTAGACTTCATCAAAATAAAAGAAAATAATTACCTAAGGACACTATCAAGAGAGTAAAAAGACAACCCACAGGATGGGAGAAAATATTTGCAAATCTTATACTAGATAAGTGACCAATATTTAGAATATGTAAAGAACTTCTACAACTCAAGAATAAACCCAATTCAACACGGGAAAATGATTTTTTAATTGCATGAAACTTTTTCAACTTTACTGAGATACGATTGACAAATGAAATTGTAATACTTTTAAAGTGCACAACATGATGATTTGGTAAACATAGACATTGTAGAAGGCTTCCCACATTTAAGGTAATGAACACATCTATCACCTCACCTCACGTATTTACTTTTTTTTTCTTTTTCCTTTCTTGGTAAAATCACTTAAGTTCTATCCTCTTAGCAAATTTCAGTCACACAATACAGAATTATCAACCATATTTGCCATGTTATACCTTAGATCCTAAGACCTTATTTATCTTATTACTAAAAGTTTGTACCCTTTTACCACCCTCTTCCTATTTCCTGTGTCCCTCAGCCTATAGCAACCTCCATTCTTTTTTGTTTACGTAAGTTCTACTTTCTTTTTTATTCCACATATAACTGATACCTTGCCTATTTGTCTTTCTCTAACTGGCTTATTTCACTTAGCATAATGCCTTCCAGGTCCATCTCTGTTGTTGAAAAAACACGATTTCCTTCTTTCTTAAGGCTGAATAATATTCCTTTGTGTATCTGTACTATATTTCCTTTATATACTGATCCATCAAATGGTATATAGGAAGTTTCCATACATTGAATATTATAAATAATACTGCAGTGAACATGGGAGTACAGACACCTCTTTGAGAAAGGAACTTCATTTCTTTTTTATATATATATATATATATACACATATATATACATACACACATATGTATATACAGAGAAATGGAATTGCTAGATCATATAGTAGTTCTATTTTTAATTTCTTGAGGAACATCCATACTGTTTTCCATAGCAGACACATCAATTTACCTTCCCACCAACAACGTACAGGGTTCCCTTTCCTCTGCATCTTCACCAACACTTGTCTCTTGTCTTTTTGCTAATAGACATCCTGACAGGTATGAGGTGATATCTCATTATAGTTTTTATTTTAATTTCTCTGATGATTAGTAATGTTGACTACCTTTTAATGCATCTATTGGCCTTATGTACGTCTTCTTTGGAAAAATGTCTATTCAGGTTCTTTGCCTAATTTTTTAATTTAGGTTATTTGGGTTTTTTGTTTTTATTTTTTCTATTGAGTTCTGTTCCGAGTCCTTGTATATTTTAGGCATTAACTTCTTATCACGTATGTGGTTTTCAAATATTTTTTCCATTCCATAGGTTCCCTTTTCATTTTATTGATAGTTTCCTTTGCTGTGTATAAGCTTTTTAGTTTGACATAGTCCCACTTGTTTATTTTTGCTTTTGTTGACTTTGTATTTAAAAAATCATTGCCAATACCAATGTGAAAGGACTCACTCTTGTGTTTTCTTCTAGTTTCATGGTTTCAGGATTAATTTGAAGCCTTTAATCCATTTTAAGTTGATTATTATGCATGGTGAGAGATAAGGGTCTAATTTTATTTTTTTGTGTGTGGATTATCCACTTTCCCTAGCATCATTTATTGACAATACCATCTTTTCTGCATTGCATGTTCTTGGATCTTTTGTCAAACATTAATTGACCATACAGGGTCTGTCCAAAAGGTTTCCAGCCACATAATATGAAAAATAGAGACATTTACTGAAGAAGACACAAGATACTAGAAACATTGTACATGGGAAAATGATGCCTCAGTCCCCTTCAAAGTAGGCACTTTGGGACTTCACACAGGTCTCCCAGTCATCATCGGCTGCCTGTCATGTTTTGCAGAATCTCATCAATGGTCTGAAATCTCTTCTCTTTCAAAGGTTATTTTAGTTTTGGGAAAAGCCAGAAGTCACAAAAGACCAAATCTGGACTGTAGGGGACTGCGTCTCCTGGGTTTCACCTGAAAACTCTGCGCAAGACATGATGCATGAGTAGGCATGCTGTCATGATAAAGCTGCCAATCACCAGTTGCCCATAGCTGCAGCTTCATGAATCATCAGAATAGTTTCCATGGAGGAATGTGCAGGCTTAACAGAAAATTTGATGCAGATTAGTTGTTCTACTCACTCAGTTATTAGGAATTCAACAGCCACACAGCACACATACTCACTCAATTGCATCTCCCACCCCCACTGACTAGTACAGTGAAGTTGTCTTTGGTCACACATGTGCATTCCAGTTCCCTTTCCTAGGCTGCCAGGTTATATCAGTGTTGCGCAAACCATTCTCATTATGTTAACAATGGCTGGACTTTTTCCAGATAGACCTTGTATGTGCATGAGTTTATTTCTGTTCTCTCTACTCTGTTTCATTCATCTGTGGGTCAATTTTTACATCATTATCACAATGTTTTGATTACAATAACTTTGGAATATAGCTTGAAATCAATAAGTAGAATGACTTCAACTCTGTTATTTCTCAATTACTTTGGCTATTTGCACTCTCTTCTGGTTTCATTCAAATTTTAGAATTCTGTTTTTATTTTTTTGAAACATGATGTTGGAATTTTGATAGAGGTTGCATTGAATTTGTGAATTATTTTGGATACTATGAACATTTTAACAATGTTAATTTTTCTATTCCATGAATTTGATTTTTTTTTTATATATTTGTGTCATCATTATTTTTCATTAATGGCTTACAGTTTTCAATGCACAGGTCTTCCACCTCTAAGTATTGTTTTTGATTTATTCTTTATTCTGAGTATTTATTCTAAGTATTTATGTTTATTCTAAGTATTGTTTTTCATTGAATTGTCAATGGAATTGTTTTCTTAATTTCTCTCTCCAATAGTTAGTTGTTAATGTGTAGAAATGCAACCAAGTTTTGTATGTTAATTTTGTTTTCTGGAACTTTACTGAATTTGTTTATGTTCTAATAGTTTTTTTGGTGAAGGCAGCAGGTTTTTTTAAATATATATAATGTCATGTGATCTGCAAACAGAGACAAATTTACTTTTTCCTTTTTGATTTGAATGCCTTTTTTTTGGTAACTTACCTAATTGTTCTGGCTAAGTCTTTCAGTACTATGTTGAATATAAGGGAAGAGAGTGAGTTATTCCTGTCTTAGAGGAAAAGGTGTCAGCTTTTCACCATTGAGTATAATGTTAGCTGTGAACCTGTCATATATGGCCTTGATTATGTTGAGGCCTACTCTAACCAGTCAGTTTGCTAATATTTCATTGAGGAATTTTGCAGATATGTTCATCAGGAATATTGGCTTATATATCTTTTTTTCTTACCATGTCTTTGTCTGGCTTTGGTATTGATGTAGTCTTATGATGCTTTGTATTTCTGTGGTATTAGTTGTAATTTCTCCCCTTTCATTTCTGTATTTGTTTTTCCTTTTCTTCATTAGTCTAGCTAAGGGTTATATATTTTGCTTATCTTTTAAAAAATATGATCTTTTCACTATTTCCTTTCTTCTACTAACTTTGTGCTCAATTTGTTCTTCTTTTTCTAGTTTCTAGAAGTGTAGAGTTAGATTGAGATCTTCTTTAATGTAGGTGATTATTGCTATGAACTATAATATCTTTCTTAAAACTGCCTTGCTGCTTTCCATACTTTTGATATGTTGTGTTTCCATTTTCATTCATCTTAAGATACTCTTTGATTTCCCTTTTGATTTTTTTCTTTGACTGATTAGTTCAGTAGCATGTTGTTTAATTTCCACATATTGGTGAATTTTCTAATTTTCTTCTTGTTTCATACCACTGTGGTCAGAAAAAAATGCTTAATATGATTTCAGCCTTTTTACATTTATTGAGACTATCTTGGAGAATATTTCATGTGTGCTTGAGAAGAATGTATTCAGCTGTGGTAGGATAGTATGTAATGTAAATGTTAAATTCTTCTGGTCTAACATGTAATTTAAGACTAATGCTTCCCTTTTGATTATCTGTCTGGATGATCTATCCATTGTTGAAAGTGGAGTATTGAAATGCCCTGTTAAGATTATGTTGCTGTTCATTCTCCCTTCATAACAGTTTATATTTGCTTTATATATTTATGTGCTCCAATGTTGTCTACATAAATATTTACAATTTTATATCCTCTTGATGAATAAACCCCCTTATTATTGTATAATGACCTTTGTGTCTTGTTACAGTTTTTGACCTAAAGAATATTTTGTCTGATATAAGTATAAATATGCCAGCTTTACTTACTTTTATTGATTATTTTAGAGAGAGAGAGAGAGAGAGAGAAATACCAACTTGTTGTTTTACTTATTTGTGCATCCTTTTGTTGTTTCTTGTATGCGCCCTGACCAGGGATCAGACCCACTGGCCTGAGATCAAACCCACAACCTTGGCATTTCAGGAAAATGCTCTAACCAACTGAGCTACCTGGCCAGGGCTATCTGCCTTATTTTTGTTTCTATTTGCATGAAAAATCTTTCTGCAATCCTTCACCTTCAGTCTCTGTGTGTCTTTAAAGGTGAAATGAAACTCTTGTAGATAACAGGTAGTTGAGTCTTTTTTTAAATCCATTCAGCCACTCTGTATTTTTTTAATTAGTGAATCTTGTCCACTTATATCTAAGTGTAATTCTTGATAGCTATGAACTTACTATTACTATTTTGCTAATTGTTTTTTGGCTGTTTTATGGATGTGTGTTTCTCTCTTCCTCTATTTTGTAATTTGATTGTTTTCTGTAGTAGTATGTTTTGATTCCTTTCTCTTTATCTTTTTGTATCTACAATTGGTTTTTGGCTTTGGGGTTATCATGAAGCTTATATAAAAATAGATAGTTATAACAATCTATTTAAAGCTAATAACAACTTAGCTTCAAATGAAAAGCTCTGCATTTTTATACTCATCCCTACATGACAGGTTACAATGTTTTTGATGTCACAATTTACATATTTTTATTGGGTATCAACAAGTTATTGTCATTATAGTTATTTTTAATGTTGTTTCCTTCAACCTTCATGCTAGATTTGTAAGTAACTTACCCACCACCAATACAATTTTCTGAATTTAACTATATATTTTGTTGTACCAGTGAGTTTTATACTTTCATATATTTCCATGTTACTAATTAACATCCTTTTGTTTCATCTTAAAGAATGCCCTTGAACAATTCTACATCTGGTCTAGTAGTGATGAACTCTTTCACTTCTTGTTTGTCTGAAATACTCTTTTTTTCAGTTCTGAAGGATAAAAAATGTCATACCATTTCTTGGTAGGCAATTTTTTTTTTCTTTCAACACTTTAAATATATAATTCCACTTCATTCTGGCCTTAAAGTTTCTGCAAAATAATCCGCTCATATTCTTCTGGAGGTTCCCTTATAAATAACAAGTTGTCTTTGTTCTGTTGTCTTTAATTTCCTTTTAACTTTTAAAGATTTAATTTTATGTGTCTCAATGTGAGTCTCTTTAGATTCATCTTTTCTGGTATTCTTTAGGCTTCCTGAATATGGGTGTCTGTCTCAAGGTTGGGCAAGTTTTCTGCCATTATTTCTTTGAATAAGCTTTCTGACTCTTTCTCCTCCTTTTGGGATCTCTGGTACATATATATATTGGTCTGCTTGATGGTATCCCACTAGGTATTTAACTACCTAATTAACTTAACTCTTTTGAATCTTTTTTTTTTCTCCTCTGATTGGATGAATTGCACTGCGTTAACTTTGAGTTTGTTGACTATTTTCCTTAATATAGTCTGATATTGAACCCCTCTATTGAATTTCCCAGTTCAATTATTGTTCTCTTCATCTCTACAAATTTTGTTGGATACTTTTTTGTGTTTTCTATCTCTGTTGAAATCCTCACTTTGTTCATACATTGCTCCCCTGACCTCGGTGAGCACTTTTATGATTATTATCTCTGTTTCATTAAGATCAATTTCTGGAGATTTATCTTGTTATTGTTTGTTTGAAACTTATTTTCTTGTTTCTTTATTTTTTTCTTGACTCTCTGCGTTGATTAATGTTCGTTAAATAAAAAAACCACCTCTCCAAGTATGTCAGACTGGTTTCATACAGGAGATCAATGTCACCAATCAGCTCAGTCCAAGTTTCTGGTTCTCATGAAACTTTGTAATTGTCCTAGCCACCATCGTTACTCTTGGTGGCTCCCAATAATTGAAGGTGTACCAAGACCTGTCAATGTCTCGAAGGGAAGCATCACAGGCAACACGTAGATGCAGGCTGATTAGATGCCAGGCACTCAGACAGCAGCTAGGAAAGTTAGTTTAGCCCCTTTCAGAGAGAAGCTGGGAGGTGGGTGTTTCTGCCTGCTCCCTCTGCCCAGAGACAGGATGTGTAACTATTGTGGTGGGAGTGGGGAATGTGCTCCTGCACCATTTAAAAACTGCTTCTTTGTTTGCTATAGTCCTAAGGAGTCCTGAATGCAAGACCTGTTGGCTATCAGGGCCAGAAGAAGTGGGGATCATCCCTCAAGCAGAAGCCGCAAAAGCTGTGGCACCAGGCATGTGTACAAGCTCCTTCCAAAGAGATGTTGGTGATCTAGAATTATAAATGCAGTGAACTAGAGACAGAATGTGGTGGAAGTGCCCACCAGCTTCCCCAGCCTCCATGAAAGATCATAGTTAGCTCCTAAATGCATGAAAAATAGCCCCTTGGGCAGCAGGTCATAAAGTACACAGTCAGATCCCTTCCTTAGAAAGACTGGAAAAAGGCTGTTTTTGCTGCTCTCTATGTGCTAAGCCCTAGGAGGATAGCCACAGTGAGTGCTAGCACATGTGCCTGTTAATAACTCCTTCTTTGTTTTCCATACGCCTATGGGACTTGTGAATGCAAACTCTGTTGGCTTGCATGTCTTTCAGAGTTAAGTGTTTTGAGGACTTGGCCATTGGTTGAGAGTCTTAAAAGTTGGAATTCTAGTTGTGCTGTTCAAACCCGTCATTCTTCAGGGAGAAGCTGAGAACTGGATATATCATCTCAATTTTCTGGTGGTGTGCAGGAGGTGGGGTTTATGGGGTGGTGCGCCTCATCATTTCCCACCCTTTTCAGTGTGGGTATTTCCCTGGTTGCCTGATGTGTATGAGTCACTGAGCTAGTTTCTGGGTTTCTCTCAAGGGAGATTACTTCAGGTGTAGCTATACATTCAGTACGTCTGTGGAAGGAGGGAAGTTCAGGGGACTCTTGTGGCATCATCTTGGTCTCCCATAAAGGATCTACATATACATTGCTCCAAATAAGACATACAGATGGTTAATAAGCACATGAAAAGATGCTCAGTATTAGTCATTCTGAAAATGGAAATCAAAATCATAATGAGGTTTCTCTTCACATCCATTAGAATGGCTACTATAAAAAATGGAATATAACAAGCGTAGGGTGAGGGTAAATTGGAACCCTTGGGTATTGCTGGTGGAAATGTAAAATGGTGTAATCACCATGGAAAACAATATGGCAATTCCTCAAAAAGTTAAATAAGATTGTCATATGATCAACAATTTGACTTCTAGGTATGTACTCAAAAGAATTGAAAGCAGGGACTCAAACAGATATTTGAACACCAATGTTCATAGGAGCATTGTTCATAATAGCCAACAGGTAGAAACAACCCAGTATCATTAACAGATAAAGGATGAACACAATGTGACATATACATACAATGGAATGTTATTCAGCTCTGAAAAGGAATGAAATGATTAACTTTAAAATCTTTATGTTAAGTGCAATAAACAAGACACTAAAGGACCAATACTGTATAGTTTCATTTCTATGAGGTGCCTGGAAGTAGCAGATTTATACAGACATGAAGTATAAAAGAGTTAACCATGGGGCTGGGAGAAGAAGATATTGAGGAGTTATTCTTTTAGTGGGTACAGAGTTTCTATCTGAGATGATGAAAAGCTCTGGGGATGGATAGTGATGGTTGCAGAATATTGTGAATACTTAATGCTTATACCTAATGTTATTGGATTGTACACTTAAAATGGTTAAAATGGTAAATTTCATGTATATTTTACTGCAATTTTAAAAATTTGGAAGTCATTTAAAATTTTTTAATTAATTTTTTTGTTTCATAGAGTTTAGTTGCAAATCATTAATAGATTTAAATATATCCTCATAGATACCCAGAATAACATTTCTAAATTTCTGCAACACTGTCTGAAATGCTGTTTCTGGTGTTTGGAAAAAGTGGTAAAGTTTTTGAACAGAAATGCCTATGTTATGGTAAGTAGATTATTTTTTTATTTATTAAACTTCTTTGCAAACTTAAACCTGTCTAGTGGTACACTTCTATCTCTGAAGCACTTCTACATCATGCATTTGGATTTATCACCACGTGAATATAAGGATTTGTGAATCCAGTGCATGATTCTGGATTCTGCTTTCCTAGTAGAGATAGCATATTAACTGTACTTCAGTGTTACTTTCTGTATCTCTTTGGAGAGGGAAAATATTATTTACTTTAGAAGTTTTTAAATTTGCTAGATTGAAAATGGTTTTGTGTGCCTTTGACAAAGTTTATTGAGAGGACAGCTTACTTAGTCTATGTTTCACTCTGAGACAAAAATATCTTTCTAATTCTGAGATTTATATATTTTAAAGGAAGTTCCTAATGAAATTTGTTTCTTGTTCTCTGTGTGAATATGGAAGCTTCTAAAGAAGTTTTTTAACATAGGGGATCCAAAAGTACAATTCTAAAATTTAGCAACTACAATCTAATGATGCTTAATATTATAGTGACATAGGGTCTGCTGCAATGATTCAAATAGTTGTGGAGATTCAAATAGTCACTAATTTACTTATACCAAGAATATTGTATTGAGTCTTATAATTAGTAAGTCAAGTGTATTGAAACACATTGGATTTCCTGAGAGTAATTTTTAATATGAACTCTATAACATTTAACCAATTTGCCAACAAACCCTAGTCAAACCCTTGAAAGTAAGAAACCCTGTCCTGAGATCTGAGAAAAAACCCCACTGTTTGAAGTTGTCTGATCCCCTCAGGGTTTATAGGAATACGGCATCTGAAGCAGACCTCACTGCCAACAACTCTGAGAGTTGTGCAGAGTTGAAGACACAGGGTTCCCAGGCCTCCCACAAACCCAAATGTTGGAAAGAGGACTGAGAGTATCTGTATGGGTGACAGAGAATGAATTCATTTTCCTGTCATTGGATTGTCTCTTGGTCTTGTTAGGGTATGTTATTGACTCTGGAATAACTCTCTTCCCCAGATTGCAATATACGGCAAAAACTTCTGCAGATCAGCAAGAGATGCTTTCAATCTGCTGATACGAAATGTTTTAGAGTAAGTAACTCGATTGAACATTGCAATGGAAGATTTGATGAACTTTGAGCATGACATACTTCACGTGATGTCATTGAAGTGTTGGAGGTCATGTTAGACATGAATATTGCCTTTTAAGTTGATAGATTTAAACCTTCTCTGTCACATCAATAATTTTTTTTATCTTAGAATTGTTGCTTCTGTCATCCACTGATGTCTTCATGTCCATTCGCATTTATTTTTATTATCCACTCTGCTCAAGAAATATTTCACATGAACACTATCATCATGTCTATGACCACTTCCCTGTCCCAAAATTGACGGAGCCGCAGGGAATAAAATTAGGGAACAAATGCAGCACGCGTAGGATTCAGGGAATCTACCTACAGGCCACGAATAGCGCGAGAGGCTGACACTGCCAATTGCACCCAGCAGCCCTACAATGCCGTCTTCCGTTTCCTTCATTAAAAATGTCAGAAGTTCATCCCAGAGCTTCAGTTCTTGCACTTAACAAATGCCAAGGAAAATCGGCAGCAAAAACACATCAAAATGAAGTAATGAATTATTTATTCTCATAAGTGTCAAGTGGCACATGTAATTTAAACATAAAATCATGCTTTGTTTTTTTCTGATTCTTAGAGTTGCAGTTATGGATAAAGTTACAGACTTTGTACTAGTCCTGGGGAAACTTCTAGTTGCTGGGTGTATAGGTAAGTGAGAATAATAAAAATAATAAAAATTGACAAGGTGCTTAGGAAAACTGCCTTACTACAAAAAAGCTATGGTGCTTTAGTAATGCGTAATACATACATTCTGCCTTTTCATTGTAGGTGTCCTGGCCTTTTTACTCTTCACACAGAAAATCTCAATCATTAAGGAAGGACCAACATCTTTAAATTACTACTGGGTACCTTTGCTGGTAAGAGCTGTTGTCTTAGTCCAGTCTGCTATGACAAAGTACCATAGACTGGGTGGCTTAAACAACAGGAGTTTATTTTTCATATACTGGAGGCTGAGAAGTCCAAGATCAAGGTGCCCACAGATTTGGTTCCTGGTGATGGCTCTCTTCCTGCTTTGCAAAGGGACACCTCCTTGCTGTACCCTAACATGGGGGAGAGGGATCTTACCTCTCCTGCCTCCTCCTATAAGGATACTAATCCTATTCATGAGACTTCTACCCTCACAACCTAATAACACACCTCCAAATACCATCACATTGGGGATTAGATTTCAACTTATGAATTTGAGGGAACACAATTCATTCCATAGTAGCTATGTCAGAGAAGGCAAAATAAAAAAAAGAAAGAAAGAAGAGAAATAATGATAGCGAATATTACTGGTCTTACTTTGTGACAAGCCTCATTCTGTTTTAAAGATTGAGCTCCTTAGAAACAATCTCTGAGACAGAGGATTGCAAGAGAAAGGTTTATTAGAAGTCTTCTCCTGAGATACACTTTTTTTTAAATAATGATTTTATTTATTTATTTTTAGGGACAGGGGAAGGGAGGGAGAAAGGGAGAGAAAAATCAATGTGTGGTTGCCTCTCGCACGCCCACAACTGGAGACCAGGCCCGCACCCCAGGCATGTGCCCTGACTGGGAATTGAACTAGCAACCATTTGGTTCACAGGTCGGCATTCAATCCATTGAGTCATACCAGCTAGGGCTGAGATACACTTTTAAAGAAGTGAAGAAGGCAGGCCAGACAAAGGAAGAAGCTGACCCATGTTGCAGTTATAGCGGAAGCCTCAGACGTAATTACAGGAAGTTCTGACTAGGGGACTGAACCTTCTATGCCATGTGAAACAGCCATTGCACAGGTTGCCCTCTGGGTCGGGGTGTAAGCTTGGCTGGGGCAGTTCCCTTCAAGGAGGGCAATTTGTACTGAAAGAAGCAGCCTACAGTCCCCAAAACTGGGGAGGGCCTGGATAGAATCCTGTGGCATCTTACAATATATTAACTCACTCAATCCATGATTCACAAATACTATTAGTATGATTCACATTCTCCCTTCTCCTCCCAAAAGTGTTGTAGAGGAGGCAGAGACAGCTTAAGTCACTTGTTGAATGAAAGCCTGAGCTGTGATTCAAATCTAAGCAACTGCCCTTAACTTCTGTGCTGCTACCTCTACATGTAGAATCCTAAATATGGGATATATTTGGTAGGGATTGGGAATAGTGCTAAGAAAATTGGCCAGTTATCTGGTACATTTTGTTTAAATCCCACTAGAAAGCACTTAAAATCATTATCATTGAAAACGTTTTTGTCTCTATATTGACATCTTTTTCAACACAGAGTACTTCAAAGCTTTCTCATCATGACTTTCATATAAAGCTGAATTACAGTTCTTTTAGACAAGCTAATGACATTGTCATTCTCTTCTTTACTCATTTACAGACAGTCATTATTGGATCTTACCTAGTTGCACATGGGTTCTTCAGCGTCTATGCAATGTGTATTGATACAATTTTCATCTGCTTCTGTAAGTTCAGAATACGTGTTTTCCCCCTTCAGCGGATAACCAAAAGATGAGGTTAAGACCCACGTCCAAAGCTGGATTGTGAACTTGCTATGACCTGGCTGCAATCACAAAACAGTGTTATTTGTAAAGAGACATTGTTTAGTAGGTGCTCTTTAAACCTTAATGGCTGAGAGAATGGAGTTTGCAAAGCACAGGAGAGTCAGCTATTGAAATGAACCTCAGGCTTCATGGCATGGAGTTAGCATGAAACGATTTTTTTATTTTCCCATGTTTTTAAATTTATAATAATGATTGGCTCCTGTAGTGCTTTATTAACAACTGAGGATATAACTGGGCTTTGGAAACTCTTTGAGAAGAGCCTCCATAGACTCTGATAAAGTCGAGCTGGCACTGGTTTCAAAGACACACAGGGACCAATTCATATTAGGCAACAGAATGACAAATGGAAAGGATTCATAGAGGAGCATGTCTAGGAAGTGATTAGATCAATTCCAATGCTTAGAGTAAAAATACCTACTTCCTTAGAGTTTTCACACTTGTTTATTCACTGTGTCTTTATGTGACATGTGTAACTTGCATACACAAAATGAGTATTTTCTGTTAGTATTTCTTCTGGAAAATCCTGGAGACCACAGTGATGATCAAGAGTTTAATCTGGCTCTCACCTTCAGCCTAGAAAGAGGAGGGTCAGCAGGTGAAAGAACAGAATTTGTTAGCCCTACAGCTATACCCTCTGAGAGATTATTTCTCTGGCACATTGCTCTTAAGAGAAATAGAGAAAATATTCTATAGCAGGGCATTACTGAGTGATCCACTCCATTTGTGTAAAACTAAGTTCATTTTTTAGTATAATGCACAGTATCAACTTCATGCTGTGGTCAGGAGAGAAGATAACTGTAAGGAGAAATATTAAAGGCAAACCTCCTTGAAAAATGGTTTGACCTTATTTTTGTTTTTTCTTTCTGAACATTTAAAAGTCAATTTTCAATAACCAGACAAAGAAGTCAGGAGAACTTTATGTACTCCTTACTTCTTCCTCTGGCTATAAATGGAACTGAAATGTTTAATCTTTTCCTAGTGCCTCAGTGGTTTGTTAGGAAAAGCCATCTACTAAAACACCACATGAACAAATCTCATACCTGAGCTAGAATCAGAAGCATGGGAATAAGGCGGTGCCTAAGACATAGTAGAGAACTCTCAAATATTCCAAGATCTTCTCTCTCATCTCAGACACTAGTCATGGGAACGATTCTGGGAGATCCCACTGGGATCCCATTCTTGTAAACTAAAAGTTTTTCCCAAAATGTATCTTAGGAAATGTCTAGACTCTACCAGTTTCCAGCCTTTAGAAGCTTTGGCAGGTCTTGTGCATTTTAAATTTTACAATGGATTTTAAATTTGAGCAGTAAGAAGTGTTTTTCACCCTTCCATATTAATAATTGCCAACTTGGAACCCCATATAATTTGAACTTTAGTCAACACATTGTGTGTGAACATGAGTAGTTTCCTTTTGGGGACTCTTGTCTTTGATAATAAAGGATAAGGGAAACCAAACCATATTTCATTTCCCTTCCCAGATGTTACTATGGGCAACATCTTACTTTGGAAAACATTCTTCTTAAATTATACTCTAAGCCAAATTATGACTGTGTGGAACTGTATCTTTTATTTTTTTATATATCTTTTTATACCTAATATCTTGGTTGCTGGAAAAACCAGTGTTTTTAAAAATGCAAACCATTTACAAACACTTCATTTATAGAAACAGCATCTTTTTATCATTACAGGACACTGAGAGTTTTGGTCCCAGGACGGGAAAAAATAATAGTTGCTGCTGAGTACTGATGTGATCCATACCAAGTTTTCTACCAATGCCTCAAGGGTGATAATGATATCACCATATGATATGTGACATATGATATAGAAATATATCATTAAGAATGAAAGAACAAAAACATTAGGTGTCTATCGTGTTTTCCTCCTTAGCTTTACATGTGTGTGAGGAAAGTCACTGTGAGATATAATAATATAGAGATCTACTAAACAAATAATCTAGCCATTTCCAAAGACTGTGATAGAAAATTATTTATTTCACAAACTGATTTTATAGTTTTGTAAAATATTTTGTATCCTTTATATTATAATTAATAAAGGTTATATATAACAAATATTTTTAAATGTGCTTGTCAAAACTTAGAATGAAATTGCATTTATATATTTATTAATAGATACTATCTGCTGTGCATTGTATATACCTGCAGGAAACTTATTTCTCAGCATTATCCAGTACTTCCTCCCAACCACCCAACAATGAACATCCCAACACTTTATTATAAACCTAGGCAAAGCAGGAAAGTAAATTAGAAAGTTAGGAAACACTGGTATTAGCTTTTGAATATAATCTGAGACAGACTACAAGGATATAGGTCAGGACACCTTAGAGTTAAGTAGGACCAGAGCTGAGCTAGGTGTCAAGAGGCTGGGTGCTCACTTCATCCTGACAGCCTGAGACCTTTTTGACTTCAGGAGAATCATTCTACACTCCTGGGTCTCAGTTTTTCCACATATAATATTAAGGTATGGTGTACGATTAAAAGTGGCTTTGAACCTGGAAATTCAACTATTGTTCTACATTTATCACAAGAATAATACATTTTTTATTTAACTTTTTCTCAGAAGACGTGGCAATTTACCTTTCTGAAATAAAGTCACAGTATTTGAAGATAATTCCTTTGAAAGGACATGAAAGATTTCATTTACCTTTAAACTATCAAAATAAATCTCTTTGGGAATGGGTGGGATTAAGGAAGTTTCAGTGCTCCCTTGCAGAGGTTGAAGCTTTTTGCTTTGTCCAGCGTCAGCAACTAAACCACACTCATTTGTCTTATATTTGACTTTCTAATGCTGATTTTTCTGATTTTTCCCTGTTCGACTCTCCAATTTATAAAAATGCATATAATTGTTCTGCCGCTGCTTGCTGCTTTTTCCTGCTTTGGCTGCTGCATATACAGGTGAAGATCTGGAAAGAAATGATGGATCTACAGAAAAGCCCTACTTCATAGCCCCTACCCTGCACGGAATGCTGAACAAGAAGCAACTAGTTCCCCAGAAGCAGAAAGAGTAGAAAAGCTCCAATCAGTGCCACTCATTTTTAAGTGGAAGTTTTGTAAATTAGGTCATTTGTAATTTGAAAATGATGCTTTTGAGTAATGTGAAATTTCTGTGCTTATTCCTAAAAAGCCAGAACCTGGTACCATCTGAGGTGTCAGGCTTTTGATAACAGTAGCCTCTGTGAATTGGGGTACTTTATAGACTAACTGTGGTCCCAGCTGAAGGGCACATTGTAAATGTCCAACGTTTTTTAAATCTATAGCCGAAAGTGTTTTAAAAACTTTTATAACTCGGCGTGCTGTTGCTCATTGCAGCACTTTGATAGCCTTTCTTTTTATACATGTATATTTGTAAAGGATATTCAGGCAATTTTTGAAAGTGCTATAAATGTATAATGGATTAGCCATAAAAAAACTGATTTATAGTTAACCAGCATATGGTACTAAATTTGTAAATATGGTGCTATGGTCATACTTGTACTGTTCAAACTAGTGGACAACTCTCTAAACTGTGATTAAACTTGTATTAATGATTCCCTAGGAAGTATATTTCAGTAAGTGATTCAAGTTCATAACAAACATGTAGATGTTAATGTTATACAGGGTCCATAGAGAGCATTACTAGGTAAAAATTACTGTGGAAATATCACAGCCCATTTTGTTTTAGTGATATTATATTTATAGTGAAGTTGATCTGAGTTCTGGAATGTCATTTTCAATAATATGAACCTCTGGCCACTATAAAAGTATTCTAAACAGAACTGAAATGGCCACATAATTCATGACTTTTGTCTCGACCTAAATAGAGACAAATTCCTATTTTCCTGTTCCCACCATATAGGAAGTTGGTATGGATTTGTTTCAGAAGAGTGACTGTATCTTTTCATGAGCATACCTGTTTTTCTAGATTAAAGAGATTAGCTGTGTTCTACAAAAGCTTTGATGTTAGCCCAACCTTCAGTGAGGAAAGAGAAAAGAGAACACTTCGGATTTTACCTTAAGGAAACATACTATTAGTCCTCCATAGACACCTATAGTATGGGGGGCATACTATAGGTTAGAAAATTCATCCCTTGAGGCTTTAGGAGGAATGTTTTTGCCATATTCCCTCCCTGCTGGCTGGAGCAACAAGCCGGTTTCTGGCAGCCATGCCTGTCTTTCACGTGGCAGAGCAAAGCATGAATTAGACGTTCGCATACTTTGCTTACCCATCCTGTGTGCCAAGTGCATATGATATAGCGAACAGTGTAAAAATGTATCCCAAAAGGAGTATTGAATCAAGTAGTATCCTTTTGGCTTTTACACTAAGCTTGTACATAAAGATTATTTATGTGTTGACAGAAAAGAACATGCTGATCTAACATTTTGACCTGAACATGATCCGTGTATCCAAGAAGACAGTCAGAATTGTGTCACTGTGTTACAAATTAATACAAATAATAATTTATTTAATGAGCCTAAAGTGTGAAAACCTAGATTTAGGTTGACTCCATGGCAGTTAAAGAAAGAAGCCAATGAATAGGGAAGATATTTGAAGTATTGGCCCTTGTAACAGCCACTATCTTGTTCTTGGTTTACTTTCTTGAGATTGTTGTAGGCAAAAGTATTGATTGACTGCACAGTTTGACAATGGGCCTTCTTCAGTTTCCTTCTCCTTGAAGTATAATTCAGAAAAAAGTGACAACCTGTCTTTCTAGATGGTTATTATTATTATTATTTTATTATTCAACAATATAGGGGTTACAACATCTAGTGAAGTAGTTTCCTCCTGTCTTAAGTGTTGAAAATGATAAGGTGTAGTCAAAAAGTTCTGAATGATGAAACAAATTTTTAATTTTTAATTTTTGTATGTATCAGAATCACTCTGAGGACTTGTTACAAATATGGATGCTTCTGCCGTATTCTAAGAGAATCTGATACATTGTGTTTGTGTGTGGGACATCTTGTAAATTATTATAAAGTTTTCTAGTTGATTCTAATACATACAAAAGTTGGAAAATCACTTGAATAAAATATAAACCAAGATATGAGAAATTATTTGCCTATTTTCTCCTTATATTCATGGCTGTTTCAAGAGGTAGAAAATTGAGAAAGACAACTGAGATTAATTTAGATACTTCTGACAATCATAGCTTCTTCTATATTTTAAATTCATGGTGCTAGATGGGACTAATATATTATATGTTTAACATTATATCTACTAATTAGGCCAGAAAATTGTCTAGAGTAAAAGTTTTTGCTGAACTATGCAGAGGCACATTTTAAACTTGGCTATGTTTTAAGGATGTAACCACTGGGCACAAAATCATAGGAAAAGAAATGCAATTTTGTTAAATATTTCTAAATAATTTCTTTACAACTTAAAGGAAAAAACTGATTCTTTAAGTTTTAACTACATTAAGGGTTCATTTCTAGTCAGAAAAATATTCTCCATTAATATAATAACTTCTTTGTGTGATTGAAATATACTACAGTAAAAATAAGCATTGTTTTGGGGGGAAAAATTTAAAAGCCATTATTTACAAAGAAAAACTAATAACTGAAAAATAGCAATATTTCTTAAAATCTACAGTTTAAGGATTTGAAATGTATTAAATTTATAAATCTTATTTTTAAAAACTATACTATCTGAACTGTGCATGGCAAAAGAAATTTTGAACAAATATGATCATTTAGAAAGCAAACTGTGAACATAGTACTTCTTAAGAATTTGAAGGTGATTAGATATTCCCAATGAATCCTTTAGGTTTTTTTGTAATTAAGTTTGCTGTCCAAAAGAAGGTAAACATTATTACCGCAATCATGGAGCTGAGAGGCATAAACTATTGGCAGAACCCGACCTGGTACAGAGTGAGATAATATCTTACTGACATAATAACAAGGGCTGTTTTTTCACAGTTCTGTTTACAATAATGTTGATGCCAAACCATGCTGTTTAGAAAGAAAAAAATTAACTGCTGTTAAGCAAGAATGCAGCAGATGGCGATGTTACTTCTCTTACAGTTTTGCTTTGATATTTATTCTGTGCCGTTCTTCCTCCTAGTGGAAGATTTAGAAAGAAACGATGGTTCTTCTGAAAGACCCTATTACATGAATCACTCTCTGATGAAGACTTTGAAAGCGCAAAGTACACGAACTAAGAAGCAGTAGAAGTGCAAACTCTGATCAGCGTGCAGCGGTGTGTTTGTTACCTTTTCCTCATCTGCTGTGTCTGTGCCACACTCCTTTCATAAGTGCTTTGAGTTTGGAACACTGTAGTCACGACCTTGTTGGCTTTTATTTGCATGTTTTATATACCAAAGCTTATACTGTAATATGTGAAGCCATCAGAAGTCGCAAGGGAATTGTTAATAACACGGAACATTTTTATACTAAGATCTTTTGTTTTGTAATTCATTTTTAAATAGAGTGGCTTGGATGTTTCAAAAATACTAGTGAATGTGTCAATATTCTTTTAAATATTAGATTGAAAAATGATACATTATTTAAATTATAGCTCCTAATATATTTTTTAAATTACAACTAAAAAACTTGTGCAGGGAAAATTGGTAAACAAACAAAGCAAAGTAGAAAATTTAAAAGTTTTCCCCACTCCTGTTTGACAGTGAATTGGTAAAAGACCGCCCTGCTCCAGATTTTGCTCTAAGTATAGAATGTTTCCTATTAAACAAATTGCCAATCTTCCAGCCTTTACTATTTCGTCCTCTCTGACAAAGTGCCTTACTGGCTGTTTAATATTACCCAGCTTTTGTGGGCAAGTTTACAAACATTATTTTAGAAAAAATACCTGCAATGTTAGTGATTAAAACAAGTCTTCTTGCATTTGTTTTCCTGTTAGCTCACTGGTTGGAAACCATTTGTCATTTCAGCATGTTTGATATCCTCACTATGTAGAGTACATTTTGCAGCATAAACAAATTCCTTTGCGCCTAGTGGACATTCTTGAATGTGTACTACGCGCTGAAAGGACATTTGTTGAGTTTCTCTTTTTACTAAAAGTGAGAAGTTTAAAAAGGTAATCTTTTCTATAGTGAATCTTTGAAAATACAATAGGTATGAGACTACATTTGTCAGTGTTTTACACAGATTAGGAAGGGAAACTTTGAGAAATTATAAAGGAAAATTTTACCCCCAGAAAGGGTGCTCACAGACATCATGTACTAATAGCTCCATTTCAAATGATTGTTTATTACCATCAAGGGGTGTTCCATGGATGTTCTTTTATTTGCTAACTTCTGATATAAAATAATTAATTTATTTATCATATGTTAATTTTTATTGTGCTAATATAAATAGGAACAAATTTCTAATTCAAATTTCAATAATTGTACTAGTGCTCCTAATTTTAAAGGAAATGAATTCAATTTGTTATAGAAAGAGTCCAGAAAGCATTCAACCTAAAAGGATGTCAGTCACACACTGATAATTTGTAAAAGCTTTGGGAATCAATGATAAGTTATTATCAGTTTGTCTATTATCACATTTGTTTAAATGTGACTTTAGATACTCTTTTATGCCAAAAACAAACTCACATGAGCACATAATAGTCTGAGCTCTGTAATTAATGTGTTTCTGCTGTGCAGGAATATTATGACCGTATTGTCTAAATATCTTTGATAACTAATATATTTAACCTTTAATGAAATTTGTTGTTACTCATTGTTTTAAATCTATTTGTTTTTTCTTCTAATAAAGATTTAGGTAAGAAAAAAACTGTCTGCCTTATTTCTTTAAGTTAGAAAGGGAAAAAAGCTTTAGTTTTCAAAACCCACTATACTATGATGGGATCTTCTTTGTATCAAATATCTGTTTTTTTTAACATCTAGATTTATCTTTTTTTTTAAAAATCCTTTTTTCTTTAGCTATGAATTAATCACCAAATCAAATCATTAAAAATGATAATTTATACAAAATAAATAAATCAAAGCTAAATGGGTAAGAGATGGATTTTTAAAAATCCAAACAATGACTTAAATTAGTTAATTGGTCTTAGTTTTAATTTGCCACAGGTTTACTCTCATTAGGTTTTCCCAACATTCATATGAAGTGAATGTCATCATTTTAAAGCAGGGATAAATTTACAGAACCTAAAAAATGTGAACACTAATTAACAATAGTTCTCCAATGCAAGATTAAATGTACAACATTTAATCTTAATCTGGTTTATTTTAAGATAAAATTTTTCTTGGGTTCAGAGATACCTTACTAAATGTGTGAGTCTATTTTTAAATTGAATTATATAGGATATCTTCAAACTTAATTTTTAAAACAATTTAATGGATTTCCTTAAATAAAAACATAAAACAATGTTTGTGCAGTTTTCAGTCCTCTGTTAAAATATTTTAACTCTAATAAGATGTTAGCTAATATAACTAATGATTCCTTTCTTATTTAAAATAAAAATATAGTTTGGTTTCCAGAAGAAATCCAAATTCTGCTTTACATCTTAATAACTCCTAGTTTTAGATGATAAAGCACTGACTATACTTGTACATAAATTGTTTGAAATTGGACTATGAATGATTTGATTTTTCTGGGTGCCCAGAAAGCTTAAAAAGAGTTTGTGAATCCACACAATGAAATCACACTATTAAAGGTTCTGTGGGATCATCAGTCAACACAGTTTTTGTTTAAGCTAATATTGAAAAACACACCCTGTGCAACAATTCCTTTTCTTTCTTTTCTTCTTCTTCTTCTTCTTTTTTTTTTTTTTTTTTTTTTTACTATATAGCTGACCAGCATTCATTCCAACGTATGTTATTTCACTTTTACAAGTGGTGCCTCAGGAAATTGCTCTTGAACTCTAACCAGGCATGGTAATTATCTCCAGTATTATCTGGTTCTGGACTATGGAACATGCTTTATGAATCAGTCTTTGTTGGCATAAGATATGGGACAAAACTGAATGAAAATCATTATTGCAGACCATGGTATATGAAATGGTATCCTGACATTTCTTCCAGTTCCTTGCAATCCAGTTCCTTAGATATTTGCGAATATTTTTTAAATACAGCTTTATATTACAAGAATACATTTCAATAAATCACTGATAAAAAGGTATATCTTACTAATATAACAGGAATAAATTACTTTTCCAAAGATACTTTCCATATACCATGTTTTTAGTCTTGGGGTTAAAATGAGCATTGAAGACTTCTCTTAGGACCTAGCTCAGTTACTTCTGGTCCTCAGTGAATCTGTCATCACCCGGAAAACAAAGCCAACACCCATTGAAACAAATGTGAAATCATTCATTTATGAAAACATAAAAGAAACCAATATAGAATCTGGCAATATTTTTTCTAATGGTTTCTGTTCTGAGAAGAATGGGGGCAATGTGACGCATTTCAAAGCAATCAATTCAATCTTACTATTAGAGGTCACTACCTTTTTTTTTTAATGCCTTGGCTCTTTTCCAGTTCTATATATATGCTGTATAATTTAGAATAGCTTAAACAAGTGGAAGAAACAATCTTGTGCCCTTCCACTGCTGACCCTAAAACATGGGCATCTTCACATTCTGGCCCTCAGCTGCTACAGAGCAGTGTGTTAACAAGAGTAGGGGAAGCTTATCAAACAAAAAGATGTTTCCATTTTGCATATCGATTAAAGTGAGCCTGGACTTGATTCGCTGTGAGATTAACCTTGAAATCTCCACATTCTTCCAGCCAGATGGATATATATTGCTGCATGTGTGTCTGCAGACACAGAAAAGAGAAAATGAAGGTAAGATGTTGGGAAAGCAGTGGTATCCAAGAACAGAACAGAAAAAGCTAAGAATATATTTTAAAAATCTCTAGCAAGATCCAAGAGGTCAACATAACAGAAAGTAGGGTGTCTTCTGAAAGCAATTCATAAATCTATAGAAAGAGAAACTTTAGAAGCCAGTAATTAAAAATATTTTTCAGTCTTCCAGTAAACAACATTGAGGCAGAATGTTATAATAAAATGAATCACATAGATGTGTTTAGCTCAAACAAACTAAAAAGAATAATGCCCCAACATGATTTATGATTAAGGAATTTAAAAACATCTGTATTTTTTTCTCATTGTTTTTGCACAAAACCCAAAACTTTGCTGTCATGATGAGCTGTTGTATTTCTCTTTCTCCTCTCAACTCTAAGACAGGTTGGATTCTCTTTTAGACTTTCTCAATTCCTTTTCACAGTTATCCCTTGCCTGTAAGAAATTGATGCTCTAATAAGGGGTTTTTTTTTAGATTTTAATTTTAACTGAATTTATTGGGGTGATATTTGTTAATAAAATCATATAGGTTTCAGGTGTACAATTCTATATAATACATCACCTGTATATTGTATTGTGTGTTCACCACACCAAGCGAAGTTTCCTTCCATCACCTTTTATCCCTCCTCTACCCTCTTCTACCTGCCCCCAGCCCTCTTTCTCTCTTGTTATCACCATACTGTTGTCTGTGTCTATGAGATTTTTTTCCTTTGCTTAATCCCTTTACATTTTATACCCCGCACTCCAAACTGCCGCCCTTCTGACAGCTGTCAGTCTATTCTCTGTATGTACATCAGTTTCTATTTTGTTTATTTATTTTGTTTATTAGGTTCCACATATAAGTGAAATAATATGATACTTGTCTTTCTTTGCCTGGCTTATTTCATTTAGATAATACTTTCTATGTCCATCCATGCTGTGGCAAAGGGTAAGATTTCATTGTTCTATACAAACCCTTTATAGCATTCCATTATGTCAATGTACCACAACTTTTTTTATCCACTTATCTACTGATGGACACTTGGGCTGCTCCGATATCTTGTCTATTGTAATTAATGCTGCAATGAACATAGATGGGCTTATGTCCTTTCAGATTACTTTTTCAGGTTCTTTCAGATATAGTCCCAGGACTGGGATCACTAGATCAAAAGGCAGTTCCATATTTAATATTTTGAGGTAACTCCATACTGCGTTCCACAGTGGCTGTACCAATCTGCATTCCCAAGAACAGTGTCCGAGGGTGCCATTTCTCCCATGTCTTCACCAACACTTGTTTGTTGATTTGTTGAGGATATTCTGAAAGGTGTGATCTGATATTGCATTGTGATTTTAATTTGCATTTCTCTGATGATTAGTGACATTGAGCATCTTTTCATTGGTCTTTTGGTCATCTGTATGTCCTCTTT